TATTTTCTCCTCTTTCTGTGTGCTCTTATATCCTTTTACCTCCTGGAAAATGCATTTAGGTAAGTCTTAAAAATGGAAGGATTGAATTACAGATTTCCTGATTTGCTATGGTTTCTAATTAGCTATAACATTTTGTGTACTGTCGTCGTCAGCCATTGAAGAAGCACGAAGACTCATCTCCACGGAAGATGCTTGTGGATGTGAAGCCGCACTGGCATTCCGGGATAGGGTCAACTCCTATCTGCAGAGACTGAATGCCAAACATATCCTTTCTGGAAGGTTTTCTGCTTTAAGCCACCCCAGGTAGTATAATTGAGCCAAAAATTTTAGGACATTCCACAGGATAAGGGCCCTATTCATTACGTTTTAAGATGAGCAATAGTAATACAGTGTTTATTTTTTTAGAGTTCTTTTAAAATGTTTTAATAGACTGTTTTGCCCATTTAATATTCACATGCTAAAAGCTGCCTATTTCTTTCTCTAGTGCTTTTCCATAGCAGTATATGCTGTGTTATTAACAGATGGAGCTATTATGCTATGATTCCTTAATATGGGCTTTCTTAGTTCAGAATCTGTAGATGGACGGAAGGAGTTAGCTGATGAGCGAGGTGATAGCTCTAGACAACTGGTCAAAAGCAGATTTCACAATGTAACATGGTACCATCTAAGGAACTTTCGAAATCAGTTCTGTAACTAAAGGAGTAATTCAGGAAAAGTACTTTTTCTTAGATCAAGTTAACAACACTGTCTCTAGGTATCTTAGAGGAGTGGTATTCAAATTGGGGGGGGGGCGCAGAAAGTTTTACAAAAATCCATTTTCAAATCCTTAAATTGACCTACCAAAAATGCTACAGGGGGTCAGCTGGCATTCTCTGTTCCCATCTCTTACTTCATATTGCCATTCTCCTAACTTTACACAAGGAAGGCATACCTCTTATCTAACCTGAATCTTCTAAGGTGAATTTCTTGGAAAGGTAAAATCTCCAGAGAGCCAAACAAAAGGACAGTTCAACAGTTTTCTAATCAAGCTTCATAAACTCCCCCAATTTATTTCATTCATTTCATTCATTCATTCATTTCATTCCCCCAGTTAAATTTTGCCTTTTATTTTTAATAATTTTATGTCAACATTTATAATTTATTAGTTGTTTGATCAATTACGTGCTCATACTAGTTGTAATGATAACTCATTCCAGATGATTAAAAAAACTGTGGGCCTTATGGTCAAAGAAAATTAATTTAAAGGTAGTTTCAATATAAATGTATATGTGCTTGTTGTTTGTATAAATTTACCTCAAAGAAGTCTTGGTGATAAAGAAAAGATTTTCAAGATTCAAAGTAGAACAAAATTCTGTGGAGAAAGCAGAAAGGAAATACAAATACAAGGAAATACAAATTCCTTTATTTTAAATATTTGATTTTAAAAGACAGATAGTAGGTATCCATTCAGTATGGCATTAATATATAGGATATATTTGAAAGACTAATTTAGATCTTATTTTTTAATTAAAAAATTTTTTTTAAAGATTTATTTATTTCAGAGAGAGAGAGGGACAGCAGGAGTGGTGGGGAGGGGCAGAGGGAAATGGAGAGGGGGAGCAGGCTCCCCACTGAGCGTAGAGCCCAACACAGGGCTGGATCTCAGGACCCATGAGATCATGACCCAAGAGGAAACAGAGTCAGACGCTTAACTGACTTAGCTACCCAGGTGCCCCTAGATTTTATTTATAAAAAACCAATACTTATGATATGGCAGAAATTGCATATTTTGTAACTAAAACTTATGATGAAAATTCATATAATTTAAATATGCACAGACATCACTTGTCAAAATTATTTTAGGGGATAGGAGCAAAAATGTTTGAAGACAACTGCTCTGTATCATCATCTCTGAAGACCACTGCTTTATAACATGCTCTCTAAAGAATAGAATTTCTGAGTTTTAGAGTTTTGATGAGAAACAATTTCACTTTTTCTTTATTGACAATAGAATGTAATTATTTTATCTTGTATTGAAGTGTTTGAAAGTGTGTTTGTGTTTTGTGATGTCTAAAAATAAAAGGAGTTGGCCTTAACAACTAGCCACTTGATGACATTTTGGGGAAGTTGCAAGCAGATGAATATGGACAAATACATCATTGAATTACTCAGATTTTTCACCTGGAAATACGGAGGGCTTGGTGTATTTAATATTTTTGCATACTTCAATGTTCCTGCTAATAATTTGCCATTGCAAATGCTTGGATATTACTGGATAAGTAGTATGAGGATCTTCTGGAGAATCAGTATTTTTTTTTAAGGAAATAATTACATTCACATCTTTAAGAGCAAACTTTAGTGTCTCTAAGCTATGACTGTGAAATGATTCATAGGAAATAGAATGAAAAGTTTAGTATTTCTTTACCAATTGAGCCATTTAATTTTTAAATGTTTATATTAATAAGATAACCATTCTTACAATGGGAACTTTTGATCTATTTTCTCTTGATAGTATTTATAGTATAAACCAGTCTTATTGAGAGTGTGAATTATACAAAGTATTTACACATTAAAAAGTTCATATAATTAAACTGAGGTGAATATAATTTAGAACTGTTTCTTTAACGCTTTGTTTTTGCTCAGCTTTTGTTGGAGTATTACTGAAGCTGTGATCAGGGGATTGTAACATGCATATCTAGATCAAGTGAACACTACATGAAATATTATAAGAAACCCATAACTAAAGACTTTAGTTTTGAATTAAGAGCGTTATAACTTTTTACTAAGGATAAAAAAATCCTACATTATCTTTACTGTTTCACTTTAGGATCCAATCAATAAAATTATATATTTATAAATATTGCTCTAACAAGTAACAACAAACCTAATGTCTTTTTAAAGTTTAAGCCTAACTTTTTTTCACTTACATATTTGGTATATGTATTTTTTTTTCAGCTTGAAAGCTTATAGTTTTTAGAAGAAAACAGTCCTTTAAATTGTGACTACTCGTTTTTTTTGTTTGTATTGTCTTTAGTATAATAAAAAGTTACTATATTATTGTCATGACTTTTTAAAATTTCATCTATTAACATATTTCCTTAGACTGAATTAACAATTATTTTGAATATATGATGATTTCTTGTTAAAGGACACAGTGTTGTAACTCTTCCCATAATTTAATTGCATACTTTTAAGGTTAAAAATGTAAGTTCAGGTTAAATAGGCTTTTATCAAGGATGTTATGGGAGAGGGAATAAAACAAAATTATCTAAATTTGGATAAAATAATGAAGTACATTAATATAAGCACCTGAAATGTAAATATAACTTACAGATGTAAACCTAAAATCAGTCAAAAATCTAAAAAAGAAACTTTAAAGAGAAGAAATGAAAAATAAATACATCAAGGCAGTATATATTAAAACATACATTGTCATTTCTCAACACTTTTGAAAGATGACTTAGAGCAGTATTATTTTCCAAACTTATTTTAACACAGAATCGGTAATATCTATTTTTTTTGTTTTCGGTAATATCTATTAATATGTCATGGACACATGGTGCTATAGAAGGAATAAATGACATTTTGTGTGCAAGCACTGGGGGAAGGTAAAGAGATGATTTTTCAAGAGTGTGACCATCTGTAACTAGTTTCAACTAATCATCTCTTCTACTTCACCGATTGATTGGAATCCCCTGGCTTAGGTATTTCTGATTCGTTTCATGAGCCCAGTATAGGGAGCTCGTTGTGCACAGGCGCCAACATATCTTCAGAATTTACAGTCTGATGTTGAAAAAAGATACACATTTGAAAACAAACATATTATCTGAATGGGATGGGGGTTAAGTTTGGCAGTAATTTCTCAGGGAGACCTGATTTTTACATTTGGCTAGGCACAATTGGCGGAGAGGGTAGGAACATATAAAATGGCCTCGGAGGCAGAAAGCATATTGGCTTGCTTAGAATAGGGGCACCGTCGTAAAGGCATTTCCCTATTGAAGGAAAAACTAATTTTAGCTGGGGTTTAGATTTGATGGGAAAGGCACTGGGATCCTTGTCAATTCTTGAGTGTGCTCGGCGAGGTAATAGACCCACTTCAAAGGATCTGAACATTATTTGCCTGAAATGGGGAAAGACTAGGTGGGGGAATTGGCTCCTGCTGCTGCATAAAGTACGAGCTAGATTATACAACTCAACACCAATTGCCGCAGAATATAGTAAAAGGGAAAATCAGATATAAATTAAAAGACGAGCTAGACTAAAATAATTCCATGGGAGTTTCTGCCCTGTGCCCAAATTATGGTCCCTTGTAACTCTCCAAGCATTCAAAAAGGACAAGGGAGAACTGAAGAACGAATTAAGGTAGAAAAAGGAGATAGAAAACAGTCGACCTCAGGCGAGAAAATACCAAACACCAACCTTAATGATTCAAAAATGGAAGGCTATGCCCCAATGGCAATTCTATGCCCCAAAGGCCCAACGCTCATACACATTCCTTTTACGTGAACCACTCACTGGGCTGCAGTAACAGCTTAAATAAGCTGTTAAAAAGTTCCAAAACAGAATGAACACCATCTCCTACCCCCAAATTGTGCCAGTGTTCTCCAATCCCCAAAGGCTTATAAGGGAAGGATTGCGCTTTCACTTGGCGGACGGCGCCAGCCCACCGAATACAGTAAATGACTTTCCTTTCCACAATGCTGGGACTTTGGGGCTTACAAAACACCCAACCACTGGGACCTCATCTGAATGAGCGCCTTTGCTCCGGAGTTGACACTGACACCTCAGGCAAGTTCCACCGCGACCATCTGAGGTGTGACCTGACCTCCGAGCCCAAGGAAAGGAGGACAGCTAAGGCGACGAGGTGGGGCGCTGAGGTCACCCTCCTGACCCCAGGCGCAGGGCAAAAAGGCCCAGAAACAAAGCGATCAGGCCCAACCACGAGCTCATCCCCGCGTCGGCGGCTGGTCCAAGACCCCCGACATCCGCGCAGGCGCACGACGCCCGGCCGAGCGGGGACGAAGCCGGAAGTGTCCCTCGGCGCCCCGGATGCGACCTGGCGGCGGTGGTTGCCAGGGCGACGGGCGCTCGCAAGAGCTGCTGGTACTCGAGACTGGTGAATTAGAACAGGTTTCCTTTGGTGGGCCTGGACGGCTGGGCTCGTCCTCTCGGAGTTCCCAGGATGTTCTTTTACCTGAGCAAGAAAGTGAGTTTTCCCGCGGTCGCCCTCGCCTCCGCTTCGTTCTCGCGTCCCGCGGGCGATTCCCGCATCCTGCCGGCGAAATCTGGCGTCCTGATCCCCAGCTTCGCCTTCCCGCCTCCCACCGTCGTGCATCGTCCGGCCTCCAACGGTCCCGAACCCCAGATAAATCTCGGCGGAGCCAGCAGCCCTCTCGCACAACTCTCCCATCCCTGCCCCTGGCTGGGTCTTTTTTGGGGAGCCAGCAAGACAGATCATTGTGTCCCTCTCTATCTTTTTTCCTCCACCTATTGTTGACCAGGTGCCTTACGTTCCTTGGATTGTCATGGGCTGCCGGGCAAGAGAAAAGTAGTAACAAAAGGTAGCCCAAGTGTTGTGTGTGGAAGGGGAATATGGGCTGATGGTCTGCATTTATACCTCCGTTTCCCTCTTCCTTCCTGTAAAACATTCATCAGGTGACTTTCGCACTGGGTTCCTCCGCGGTCAGTGCCTTTCTCTTGTGGGCACTTTTTTCTGTCTTTCGCAAGTGGTAGGGCAGTTCAGGAGATCCTGCCATGCCCATTTTCACCACAGCTCACACTCTGCAAGAAGGACCGTTTTTCTTCTTGGGGTGTGTGTGGGGGGGGATTTTCTTCAGCCTTCATCTCTAAGTCACTAGCCAACTCCCTCGTGAAAAGCTGTGAAAGCGGCTGTGGTTGCTTTTCAGATTGCCATTCCCAATAACGTGAAGCTGAAATGTGTATCTTGGAACAAGGACCAAGGATTCATAGCATGTGGTGGTGAAGATGGATTACTGAAAGTTTTGAAATTAGAGACGCAGACAGGTAAATGAATGCGAGCCCAAAGGTTTGAACTTGATGGAAAATTGGCTAGTATCATTTGTTCACTGAGATTTGCTCATGGTATTTGTTAGTATGCAATTCTAATTCTTTTAAAACCAAAAATAAACACAAAACTCCCAAACAGTTAGTGGCGTTTTCTGTAGAGTATTTTTGCAGTAAAGTTCAGAGAATATCGAATATAAAAATCAGATGGCTATTGCTGAAGTTCTTGATGGAAAAGGAAAAACAATGAGGAATGAGAACTATATTGCCTTGTCCTTTTCTGTTTATTGTGCTCTACTATTTGGACTCTAATAAAAATGATGTGAATCCACATTTCAGTTAGGTCACAAAATCTCACATATTGTCAGATTATTTGCAGGCCTGTATCATCCTTTCTGCTTCTCAGATATATTAATAATTATTCATCTAGTTTCCAAGAACAGAAAATGAGACTTTAAAACATTTTTGTCAATAAGTTTCATGTGATTACAGGTTGCTTTCTCTTTTTTTAGTTCTCTGGAATCATAGCAAACAGTTTCACATTTCTTTTAACGTCCACAGTATTGCTCTAGAATGGAGAGCTAGACGATCCCCAATCTATATTGGAGATCTAGATGAGGAGATTGGAGTTGGAATCTCAGCTCTGCCATACTGACTTTCAGCAAGTTGGTCAACATCTTTGGGTTTTAGTTCAGTCTTCTGTAAGATAAAGGGCTGAACTAAATTCCATTTTGGATTCAAAGTCTCTACACTTCAACCCTGGGGCCTTTGCACTTGCTATTTCTGAGTCTGGACTACTCCCCTTTCCCCTCCTCTTTTCCCCACCTCACTTGGCATCTCCAGTTTATTCCTCAGTCTCAGCTTCAATATAATTTCTTCAGAAAGCCTTCCCTGGTTCTCCCTCCCCCCAATCTAAATTAATCTCCCTCTGTCACTATCTTATTATGCCTTTACTTCCTCAATTTGTAATTTTACATATATGCATATATATTTATGGGGGTGGGTGAGTGTCTGTTTAATAATATCTGTCCCCTCGGTAGACTACAAGCTCTCTAAGGGTAGAGGCCTTAACTATTTCATTTATCATTTTATATTCAGAAGCTTCCACAGTGCATGGCACAATGTAGACATTTAGTGAATGAATGAATGAATGAAAGATTCTGCAAAATCTAGTAAAAACTGATTTCCAAAGACATTGCTTTCTGATCCCTCTTATGCTTTAGAATTTTCAGTCTATATGTCATAAATGTTTCTATTTATGATCTTTTGGGGAGGAATAAGTAGCAATAATAATTACTAATATATTTAATATACTGGGTAAACTGTTTTTTTTTTTAATACATTTTGTTTTTTTTGTCAGAATAATATCTTTACAAGGGGGTACATATTATTGTCCTATGTTTCCACCATGAGAAAAGTAGATCAGAATGAGGCATACTTAAAAAATCTTTCTAATATCATCCAGGAATAAGAACTCCTTTTAAAATAAGGAAGAAATGTCAAAGTCTTATAATCTGTTAGTTTAATGTATTTGCCGTAATATTTTTTTCCCTAGATGATGCAAAATTGAGGGGTCTTGCAGCCCCTAGTAACCTTTCTATGAATCAGACTCTTGAAGGTCATAGTGGTGAGTCATGTAATTTTTAAAGTCGTATTTGAATAGTCTTTAGGCATTTAGAAACCATCTACTTAATGCAGAAATGTTATCATTTTTAATAATGTTAATATTTAAAGTAATCATTTCTATTGAGCCATAATTAATTAATTGAGCCTAGAGTCTTTCAACAACTTTTACATGATTAAACAATGTCTTCAGTAAATCTAAAACAAAGTCGGTCTTATTTTATATATTAAAAAATACTGTTATTTGTCTACAGATAGGATATAACCCTTTTTTAGAATCTGCTCCGTGGTTCCACATCAAAGTAGACTAAAGAGACATGACAACTGAATGCACTCTATGATCCTAGATTGGATTTTGGAATGAGAGAAAGAAGTACCTATAAGGGACATTATTTGGACAATTGATAAAATTTGAATGTGGACTGGGGTTAGATAATATTGTGTCAGTGTTAAATTCACTAATTTGTAATATGGTTATGAAAGAGAATGTCTTCTTAGGAAATGTACACTAAAGTACTTAGGGATTAAAAAAAAAAAAACTAAAAAAACCTCAGTTGTTCATATAACCCAGAGGTTTAAGATATGCTCAAGAGTGTGTTTCTAGGGGGTGGGGGGATGGGGTGACAGGGTGATGGGTACTAAGGAGGGCACGTGTTGTGATGAGCACTGGGTGTTATACACAACTAATGAATCACTGAACACTACATCAAAAACTAATGAATCACTGAACACTACATCAAAAACTAATGATGTTTACAGTGGCTAACTGAACATAAAAAAAAAGAGTGTGTTACTAATAGAATGGAAAATAAGAGGGGGGAAAAGAGAAATTAGGGCATATATCAACCACAAACAACCCCCCCATCCCTCTAAAAAAAAATCCAAGTACTTAGTATGATGTCCTTTGGGCATTACTATCCTTGGGAGTCAGGCCAGCTGGGTAAATCTTACTTACATTTGTTTCTGTCATCAGATATATGGCAGCTCTTGCATCTGACCGTAATAGGTGCCTTTGCTGGCCTGGAATAGGAGCAAACATGAAAATATCACATGTTGTAGGAAATGAGTGACAATAGTGACTACATCCTATGAATATGTTTGAGTGATTTATTAAGAGTGGCTAGTTGCACAGGAACCATATTGATTTGAAGATGCTATTGGTGTTTATTATAAAAATACAAATTTGAAATTGTCGCCTTTTTTAAGTTTCTAAATTGTTTTATAATTTTTTTTAGGTTCTGTTCAGGTTGTAACATGGAATGAACAGTATCAGAAGTTGACTACCAGTGATCAAAATGGGCTTATCATTGTTTGGATGTTATATAAAGGTATGCTAGGAGAGCTTATGGAACCTTTCACAGATTGGAGTCTGGGTTATGGTATTTGAATGGGGAAACTACATATTTGAAATAGACTCCTTTTAACCAGCAGCAGGAGTTCATCCTGATGACATGGGGGTAATATTTCTGGATTTACTGCTGCCTACTTTTCCTTTTAACTTTATTTTTTTTTTTGAACTGTGACCTTGCATGAGGAAAGTGAACTAGGTGACTGTTGGTTATCTCCAAAATGAACATAGGCCCTTAGCAGGATAGTTTCTACTTGAGATAGCTTTTTTCCCCCCCAGGTTTCCAATAAGAATTATTTTCTGTGTGATCAGTGGCTAGAGTTAATCCAGTGGGTAAAAACATTTATTAAGAAGTCAGGGGCAATAATTCATTCCCTTTATTGAGTCCTTTAGTTTCCTTTTCTTTCATGGATACAGATTTTATATCAGCTCTGACAACTGGCTCATGATTTGCACCTTTTGGCTACAAGAGAGAGCAAGAGAAGGATTAATTTAGGTGCATCACTATTACCAGAAAATAACACATAATACTTGATCTCTTGGGGCCTGTAGCCATCATCTTTAAATGTGTGTTGTTTTGAAAACATTCAGGGTGTACCATTTAAAAATTCTTAATTAAAAATATGCTGTACATGAATTTATGTTTTTCAAAGCTTATGTATGTGTGTGTATATCTGTGCAGGGAGTAGAATATGAGAGTACAGGAGATTAGGGTAAACTGTCTTTTTCCAAGGTGGGTGTTCTCTGGGCCTCAGTCCTTACTCTGATAATGCCCTCTTCGACTAGTTATTTCAAATTATGTGATAATTTGCTTGGCTGTAGGCCAGAATTCCTGATACCAAAATGTAGTAAAAAATAAAAACAAAACAAAATAGCCTTGTGATTTGCCTCACATTTGGTTACACTTTGAGACCTCTCACTCCAGCCCTGTGTACAAGAATAGTTTTGTCATTCAGCATTAGTGATGTGAAATCACTAAAGTGATTTGCACTGTTGAAAATTTTTTTCAAGCAGGTTTAGAGTTTTTACCTAATGTACTTGTATTTAATATGCTTATAATTAGTCATTGGAGAGTTTATGCATATATATAAAATTATTATGGTTATTTTGTTTTTTCCTTGGTTATTATCTGAAGTTTTAGACTTTGAGAAAAATCGGTTGTTTTGGCCTGTCAAAAGCAAATAAAGTTTTATTTTTTAATGGACAGAAAGGAAGAAAGAAGGAGAGAAAAGAGGAGCATTTATTGTGTTTTCTGTGATAATCTTTGAAGCAGTTGTTGGTCAAGGCCTCAGCTAATTTTTTATTTTGTTTTTGTTGGATTTGAAGGTTTTATAGTTTAATGTCTCAGATTGTAGAAAATTTTGCAGTTACTTATCCCACAGTGTGCTTTATGGAATGCTTTCAACTCTTATGTGAAAGTTTTGACTTGTAATTTTTTTTTAAATTTGTGCAAATAGGTTCTTGGTACGAAGAGATGATCAATAACAGAAATAAATCAGTGGTTCGAAGTATGAGCTGGAATGCCGATGGACAGAAGATCTGCATTGTATACGAAGACGGGGCTGTGATAGTTGGTTCAGTGGATGGTAATGCTTTGTTGCACACAGAACTAAGATCAATATTTGGTTGGCATTTTTGTCTTTAGAGGTTTAATTAATTATATGTTAGCTTTCTGACAGAAAAGTAAACATAAAAAGAGAAAACAGTTGATATACAATTTAATGATGTTCAAGAAACATTTATTTTTTTTTAAGATTTTATTTATTTTTTTAAGTAAACCCTCCACCCAACATGGGGCTTGACCTTACAACCCCATGATCAAGAGTCACGTGCTCTACCAACTGAGCCAGCTAGGTGCCCCTAAGAAACATTTATTTTTACGTATACTCAAGTAAAAAATCTATTTTTAAAAAATTTCCTACAGTGGCACTGAAAAAAGAGTGAATTAATTTTTCAGGATTATTTTAAATGTCTGCCTAGTTATAATTCATTTTTACACTTGTTAGGCTATTTTATTATAAATACGTAGATCTTAGTTTCAATAAGTATGTAGGGATATAACAATCTCTGGTTATTTTTAAACAACTGAACTATTGAATATTATTGACATATAACATTAGTTTTATTTTTTATTTTTTTATTATTATTTTTTAAAGATTTTATTTATTTGAGAGAGAGAGAGAGAGCGTGAAAGCACAAACAGTAGGGAGGGACAGAGGGAGAAGCAGACTCCCAGCTGAGCAGGGAGCCCGATATGGGGCTCGATCCCAGGACCCCGAGATCATGACCTGAGCTGAAGGCAGCCGCTTAACTGACAGAGCCACCCAGGCACCCATAACATTAGTTTTAGATGTACAACATAATGATTTGATATTTTTATGTGTTGTGAAATGATCATCTGGTCATTTTTAAATAGAGCTGAGCATGTTGTTGTTATTGTGTTTTATAGCTTTAAAACCTATGTTTTTCAAATTTTAGTTCTTAGGTAACACTGGGGCTTCTGAGAATCTACCTTCATTTTAATGTGAAACTCTATAGAGAAATAATTTATTTCAAAATGATTTCCATTTGTTTTTTTCTAGTGTAACTTCATTTATTCCACAAATGTTTCTGAGAGCTTACAAAGTCACAGCTATAGTTCTAGGCACTAGGTACGACAAAAAATATTTCAGATCTAGAACAGGAGAGATGGATAAGTAACCAGGCAATTACAATGCCTTGTGGTAAGTGTGGAGACAGGGAAAATACAGCAACATATAGTAGAAGTATCTAATTCAGGCTTGGAGGGATCAGGGAAGGCATCCTGGAGGAAGTGATATGTGCTGAGGCATTAGGCACCAGGAAGGTTGGTTTGTAAAGTGTCCTAGGCCTAAGAAATAGCATTTGAGGAGGTCCTCAGGGGTTGAACTTAGCTATGGTTAGGGTATTGAAAAAATTTTGAGTCACTGTAGTATAATATTAAAAGGAGAAGAGTTGTATGTGATGAAATTAGAGACATTAGCAGAAGCCAGATTATGCAGTTTGTAAGTTATACAAGGAGTTGGGATTTAACTTTAAGGGCACTAGGGAGCCAATGAAAGCTTTTAAGAATGGGAGCAGTGTGATCGAATTTGTTCTTTGGAAGCATCTCTGTGACTGCAACATGAAGACTGGAGGGAGGAAAGAAGGATAGGGGGCAGGTGTACCAGTTGGGGAATTACTATGGTAATTCAGGTGAGAGGTGATGGTGGATGGTGGCTGAACCAGGGTAGTGACAAAGAGGCTGGAAGTAAGTGGCCATATGCTGGAGATACTTAGGAGCTAGAATAGATAGGGCCTCATTATTGATCAGTTTGGGGATGAGGGGATGGAAGTGTCTAGAATAATAGCCAGTTTTTAGCTTTGACAACTGGATAGATGGCCAGGACCATAAAAATAAGGGATGTGGGAGGGGCGCCTGGGTGGCTCAGTCAGTTAAGCGTCTGCCTTCGGTTCACGTCATGATCCCAGGGTCCTAGGATCGAGCCTTACCTCAGGCTCCCTGCTCAGAGGGGAGCCTGCTTCTCCTTCTCCCATTCCTCCTGCTTGTGCACTATCTCTCTCTCTCCCTGTGTCAAATAAACAAAATCTTTTAAAAAAATAAGGAATGTGGGAGAAAGACTGATTGTGAGGGAAGATTTCTTTTTCGGACATACTGATTTTGTCATGCCGGAGGACAGCCAAATAAAATATGTCAGACCATAATTACATGTATGCATCTGTGGCTCCGAAATATCTGGGCTAGAGTCATACTTTTGGGAATCACCAGCAGGTAGATGGTAATTTAAACCATTGGAATAGATGAAAAACCTACGGGCCACTGTGGGATAAGAACCTGCAACATAAGTGTTGGAGATAAAGGAGTAAACAAATGCACAGAAACCAAGAAAGAAGGAAGGGGTGGTTAAAGAAAAGCCTGCAGTGGACCTAGCAACAGGCCTTAGGGACCTCCTGAAGGTCATCTGTGGACGTGTGGGGTGGAAGCCGGATTGGGTTGGGGCTGAGGGTTGAGTGGGAGTTGAGGAAGTGGTGACTGCAGGTGTGAACTCTTTGGAGAAGCTTGGCTGGGAGAGGAATGGTGGAAATAGGGTAGTGGCTAGAAGGGAACTTGGGGTCGAGGGAGATGTTCTTTGTTTTATTTGTTTTTATTTGAGGTGGTAGTTTTGAAGGATAGATCTGAGTATATTTAAATACTTGTGAGAAAGGGCCTGGAGAGAGAGTTTCAAGAGAAAGAGAAAATGTGAATAATCAGTAGAGGGGGATCTTTGCAAAGCTAGGAAGGGCTTAGACCAGAAAGTAGGTGGAGGGATTCACCCTAGGTGGGTGTCTGGTTGGGGATATACCTCTTCCTTTGTTTTGGGGGGCAAAGCAGAAAGGGTTATCATGGATTCAGTTTTGTCCTGAATGTTTGAAAGTGGAAACGAGGGATTTCTTTTTTGAAAGCTTTTATTTTCTTTCCATGGTTGAAGATGAGTTCATCTGTTAATTGGGAGTAAGATCCTAGATTAGAGTTTTGAAGAGAAGGGAGAAAGTTGGAAACAGCTGCTATTTCAAATGTTTAGTAGGATATTTGGCACATAAGAGGTGCTCAGTAAATTTTATTGACTGCATAAATTGAGCAAATACATCGTGCTGTGATGAATGTGAGAGCTCTTTAGGGAAACAGAATTTTAGGGCAGTTGTTGGACAATTATGACCTTGAACCTTTAATGAAATAATTATGTTTTATGTTTTATTTTAGGGAATCGCATTTGGGGAAAAGACTTGAAGGGTATACAGTTATGCCATGTAGCATGGTCTGCAGATAGTAAAGTCCTACTTTTTGGAATGGCAAATGGAGAAATACACATTTATGATAATCAGGGGAATTTTATAGTAAGTGTATATATTTTCATATATTCATTAGTTTTGGTTACACAATTTTATATGATTATTTTATGTATCATTCGTATATGTATACACATTTGTTATGATGGTTTGTGTCATCAAGAAAGTCTCCATTTCGGGCGCCTGGGTGGCTCAGTTGGTTAAGCGACTGCCTTCGGCTCAGGTCATGATCCTGGAGTCCCGGGATCGAGTCCCGCATCGGGCTCCCTGGCAGGGAGTCTGCTTCTCCCTCTGACCCTCCTCCCTCTCATGCTCTCTGTCTCTCATTCTCTCTGTCTCAAATAAATAAATAAAAAAAAAAATCTTAAAAAAAAAAAAAAAAAGAAAGTCTTCATTTCAATTTTTTTCCCAATCATTTAGATTTTTTAATTAAAAAAAAAAAACGGTCGCTTAAAGGTAAATTAATGCTTTTAGTTCAGACTTCTTGGTAACTGGGAAGGACAACATTTCAGTGTATTGAAGCTGAGGGATAATGAGTTGGATGAGGTACAGTTTAATCTTTGTGTCTTCTAATAGCAGAAGCCTAAGTTTACATGAGATACATATTTTTTTTCCAATGATATTTTTGTAGCAAGCTACTCAAGGTTGTTTGTAAAAAGAATGGAAGACTTAAACAGTAAAGGGCAAAAATCAGGTCCTGGGAAGAAGGCAAAATAGAAGAGGCTCAGCAAGCACAATCTCAAGAAAAACTCTGGCTTTGTGAGATTTAGCTGTGTTTGATCTCTGATCTTACTTACGGGGCAGTTTGGTTTGTCGTGAGGCTGAGGACATTACATAAATCTATTTATTCGCGGAAGTGATAATAGCCAGCTTTTCCATGACACTTTGCTATTTTTGAGGTACTTTCATATACCTCTTGTCATTTAGTCTCATAAATTCTCTGTGAGTTTCTTTTAATCCTCATTTTGCAAGAGGGAAAAACCGAAATTCAGTTGAAGTTGTTTGTCCCAGGGTTGGTAAACCCGTAAGCCATGGGGCTGGCATTTGAAGTCAGATTTTTAAATCCCATTTTCAGTGTTCTTTCTACAGTACTCTATACTGATCTGTTTTAAAAGATGAAATATTAACCTAACTCATTTGTTTAGGTGAAAATGAAACTGAATTGCTTGGTGAATGTCACCGGAGCGATCAGTATTGCTGGGATCCACTGGTACCACGGCACGGAAGGCTACGTGGAGCCAGACTGCCCCTGCCTCGCAATTTGTTTTGACAACGGGAGGTGCCAAATCATGAGACATGAGAGTGACCAGAGTATGTAATTTTTCTTTCTTTCTTTTTTTTTTAATGTGGAGAACTTAAAAAATATTTTAAAATTATTCTGAAGATTATACAGTTCTGTAGGCTAAGTATTTTACCGCAATTACCTCATTTTTTTCTTTTTGACTAGATCCTGTTTTAATTGACACTGGCATGTATGTGGTGAGTATCCAGTGGAACCACATCGGCAGCGTGTTGGCTGTGGCAGGCTCCCAGAAGGTGGTCACTCAGGATAAGGATGTAAACACTGTGCAGTTTTACACTCCATTTGGTGAGGTAAATGTCTCTTTTCTTTCCTATGTAGCGAGTAATGTAGGGGAAAAAGGTGGAGGAAGCGGTATAAACTTGTCACCTTTTTGAAAAGGGACATTTTGAGTAAAAATGATGGAATAACAGGCATCTTGTCTTTGATTAATGTCCTCACTTCTAAGTCTTGATAGATGTATTTCATCATGGAATTTAGTTTATCCTCTGTACCTTTAGAAAATGAGCTGTTTCACCTAAGAAATCACTATGCAGTAGTATTTAGAATATTTTCTCTGTGATCTGAATGTGCATCTTTTTTCCTAGCTGGTTTTTGTGTTGTTTTTAATATAATTTAGTTGTTTCAGATTAATATTTTGGATTTTTAATGTGATATATTAAATGTACATAGATGTTAAGCACACATATCTGTCTCTTCCTCCTTCAGACTTCTTTTTTTTTTTTTAAGATTTTATTTATTTATTTGAGAGAGAGAGTGCAAGTTGGTAGAGGGGCAGAGGGAGAGGGAGAGAATTCCAAACAGATTCCCTTGATTGTGGAGCCTGATGCAGGGCTTGATCCCAGGACCCTTGAGATCATGATCTGAGCTGAAATTACCAGTTAGACACTTAAGCAACTGAGCCACCCAGGCGCCCCTCCCTCCTTCAGTCTTCTAACAGTTTTAATTTGTTGAGGAATAACCAACTATTTTAAGAAAATCTATCTTAATAACTAATCTTAAGTGATGCTACATTAGAATACAAGCATTGTTTTCATAAATGCATGTGTTATCCTTCTTAGTAGTATTATTAATTAAATTTTTTTTTTAGATTTGATTTATTTATTTGAGGGAGAGAAAGAGTGTGCGTGGCAGAAAGAGAGGGGCAAAAGGGGAGGGAGAGGGACAAGCCGACTCCCTGCTGACTGCAGAGCCCAAAGCAGGGCTCTATCTCAGGACCCTGAGATCATGACCTGAGCCAAAACCAAGTCAGTTGCTTAACCTACTGAGCCACCCAGGTGCCCCTAATGAATTTAATTTTTAAGGAGAGTTTTATTGAAGATGTAGTGGAAAATATCAAATAGGAGAGTTAATGTATTGTGAATTTTAAAGAATTTGTAAAGTGAGAACTTAGTAACTTAAGCTTAATAATTTTTTGCCTGTTTTATTTTCTGTCTCTAGACTCTATTTAGTCCCTATTGGTTTTTATAAATTCACCATAGACTTCAATAATATGTGTTTTTGCTACATAAAAGCCTTCCCCAGTTGTTTTAATATTTTAAAATACATTTTAATAATTTCTCTGAGGGTAAGAAACGGTATCAGCTCATGCTTTTGAATCAATGTCTCAAAATACCCAGTAGAATGTGATGTAGAGAATAGATTGTACATTGCCAGCTAATATTTTGGTAGATGTTAAAAGCTAAGGGAAAACTGAAGTATGGTTCTCAAGGTTCCTAACTATTAAAGATCTGAATTCATGGGGCGCCTGGGTGGCTCAGTTAAGCGTCTGCCTTCGGCTCAGGTCATGATCTCATGGTCCTGGGATCGAGGTCTGAGACAGGCTCCCCGCTCAGCAGGGAGTCTTCTTCTCCCTCTCCCTCTGCAGCTCTCCCTGCTTGTGCTCTCTTGCTCTCTCTGTCAAATAAATAAATAGATAGATGGATAGATTAATTAATTAAAAAATATCTTTAAAAAAATCTGAATTTGTTCTTAATTCATGTTCTTTGTTGGTTATTTTTGTCAACCATTGGCTTGTTTATCATTATTTTATCTGCTTATTTTTGGTAGTTCAACCTTTTCTAAGTGGAAAAACATGGATTCTAAGGCCTATTTATCTTGCAAAACAGTGTGTTATGTGTTAAATTGACAACTGTAGGTTGGTTTGGCATGCTTGTAATTAAAAGTATCTAGCATAGTTCCTCAGGGTATATTAGTCACTTGGTATTTTTTTGAATGAGTGAATATATAGGGGACTTACTTTGGATCTATGTTATTAAGATAGGGAAGGTAACTTAGAAGGAGGTTATTTAAAGGTTTAACCTTAAGGAAACCTCAGGGAAGAATTTGCTTTTGATTCTGAAGGCCTGAGTCTTCGGGTTTTTATACAGTGGTCTTAGCCAGAGAAGGGGATGACAGAGCATGTGATTTGTCATCAGGTTGGCCTGGCTTTGGCTGTGAATTCCATTTCCACAGCGTCGTCTCACTTGGAGAACTTCTTTCACCTCTGAGACTCAGTTTACTTATGTTCTGAAATAAAGGTAATACCTCATGGCACTGTTGTAAAAATTACAGGAGGTAACAATGAGAAAATGCCTACCCCAGGGCTAGGTGAGTGCTTACTACAAGTTGGTTTTCTCTCGGTGTTGCTGCCATCACCTGGCTGGCCTGCAGAGTTGGGAGATGGCCTTATTCTCTTCCCAGTGAGGCTCGTCACTCCTAGGAGTGATGTCTGTGAGCAGGACAGACAGAGTGGACCCTCATAGGTTAAAACATTTTTACCCCCATTGGTTTCCCTGGCAAAATGGAGTTTCATACGTTAAACCTGACTTGCGAGCATATCTGCTTAAGAACAAGGGATAGCAGTACGATTTATTAAAATTCTTGGGTCTGTCAAAACATAGATTTACAGTATTTTCTTTTTATGGCCACATTAAAATGTCTTTGTATTAATTTATTCACTTGTTAATTTAGCCATAAAATGGGCTATGTTACAGTTAGAGCTGTAAGTTGGTTTGATATCATTGTAATTAAAAGTTTCTAGCATGTCTTCATATATGAAGACATTAATTTGAGTGCATTTATTTACTTAATAGATATTTATTGAGTACCTGTTTATCAAGCAATCCGTTAAGGGACAGGGACATAAATGTGAATATGATGAAGTTAGTGCTCTCTGGTAGCTCACTTTCTGAATTCTCTGGACCTGTAGAAGGAAGGAAAAGGCAGGAAACAATGTTAAAGTTGCATCTTGGAGGATGGAGACTGTGCTCCAGGAGCACAAGGGAGAGTAAGGCTGGGGAGGCAAGGGAGAGGAAAGGAGGATTTCAGGCAGAAGGTCTATTATCCAGGTCAAAAGTTTGGAGGCACAGTAGCCCCCTCATGAGGGAGAACACAGGAATTATGGCTAAATAGGGAGGTACTGAGCCAAAGAGTATAGCTTTGAGCCAAATGGGAAGAGGCATTGTATACTCTGCTAAAGAATGTGATGGTGGGAAGCTATTGATTTTTAAAAACGATTAAACATTTTTTTAAAGCAGGATAAGATAATGACTGGATTTGTGTTCCAGAAAGGTAATTTTGACAGTAGAACAAATATTGAATTTGGGGGGTAAAGGCTGGGAAAGAGAAAAGAGATGAAAGGTAAAGATTGCAGTTAGACCATTACCATAGTTCATTCAGGAAAGGGGGGAGGGGCAGTGGAGGATAGATGAGAGTGAGAGCAATAGGACTTGGTGACTGATTGGCTATGGAGGATGAAAGAGAGACCAGACTTAAAGATTGCATTTACTACCACAATAATTCATTCATCCCAAGAGGCACAATTTTTTTTCAAAGATTTTATTTTTAAGTAATGTCTACACCCGATATGGGGCTCGAACCCACAACCACCCACTGAGCCAGCCAGGTGTCCCCAAGAAGCAGAATTTTTTACAACTCCAAAATTGGAATGCATCTTATAATCAAAGTTTTCCTATTTTAATTAGCAGAATGTTTTATTCTTCCTGAGTTATACATAAATATGCATATTTAGATCTCTGGCATCTTGGATTTGATGAAATTTGATACTGAATTCTTTCGCTTTTGTTTGTAAATTTCTCCTATCATAAGTATGTTTTTCATTATAAGAATTCAAGGAAAATGATTTTGAAGTGAGTAGTAGCCTTTCACAAAATAATTTTTATAACATCTTTGATCCCTATGAAGTGATTGGTGGTAATTTATATTTTATTTAATTGTGATATTTTAGGTTAAATATAATTATTTTTTCAGCATTTGGGTACCTTGAAAGTTCCTGGAAAGCAGATGTCTGCACTATCTTGGGAAGGAGGAGGACTGAAAATTGCACTAGCTGTTGATTCTTTTATATATTTTGCAAACATTCGACCTGATTATAAGGTGAGTATTGTGAGCAGTTGTTAAAAAAAAAAGCTGTTTTTATTTTTATTTTTTTAAAGATTTTATTTATTCGTTTGAGAGAGAATGAGATAGAGAGAGCATGAGAGGGGGGAGGGTCAGAGGGAGAAGCAGACTCCCTGCCAGGGAGCCCGATGCGGGACTCGATCCAGGGACTCCAGGATCATGACCCGAGCCGAAGGCAGTTGCTTAACCAACTGAGCCACCCAGGCGCCCAAAAAAGCTGTTTTTACTAAACAGTTTTGCTACAGCTCAAAGTATAATGTACGTTTCTTGCATGTGTTCACAGCCACTTGATTTTAGAAATCAGATGAAAGGAGACGTTTTTAGCGTGAAGACTTTAGAACCTGAAAACTTTCCTAGAATACTATACATAACTAATAAAATACCCCTAACAGTCAGGGTCTCAGCAGGAAACAGATGACACACTCAAAAGAAAAACTGAAGAGAGACTGATGGAGGGTTTATTACAGAGGTACGGGCATGGCTAATGGGTCCTATAAGGGATGACAACGCAGGCATCCAGGGATTAGCAACAGTGGGCAAGGTAGGAAAGTATTGTTCCTGGAACCCACTAGAGCTGTGGCTGTGCAAGAGGGATTAGCCTGTGGGAGCACAGCCTCTGCCGGCTGGCTGTGTAGAAACAGTTTTGGGGATGAAATACGTCAGCCCATCTCTCTACCTGTTGGTGCCTTCTATTGGCCAGACCCAACTGGAAACCAGAAGGCAAGGTAGCCTATGTGTTGGAGTTCATAGAAGTCAGTCTCCAGGGAACAGCAGGGTAAAAAAAGGCAGCGAGAGAATGGATCAGAAGGGGAAAATGAGAATAAGCAGGATAATACTGATCAATATTTTTTAAAAAGATTTTATTTATTTATTTCTTAGAGCACAAACGGGGGTGGGAGAGGGAGAAGCAGGGAGCCCAACACGAGGCTCGGTCCCAGGACCCTGGGATCATGACCTGAGCCGAAGGCTGATGCTTAACGGACTGAGCCACCCAGGTGCCCCAATACTAATCAATATTTTATCTTAAATTTAACATTTGACCCAAAACAAGTTCAGAATATGAGATTACTCAGTCTGGTAAACTACTAGGAATATTTGCTATGAAAAACTTATTTTATTTTTAAAAGGCAAAGCACCTTGGAGAACTGTCTGATTCTAGGACTAGGGTGGGAAAAATACAGGAGTCTCTGACGGTGCCAGAAAGTAAGCAAGTGCTCAAAACACAAAAGGATAGGGCATACCAAAGAGACAAAGGAGCCAACCTGGAAGAGCTCCCAGTGGCCAAAACTGGAACAATTTGAGCAACAAAATAAATGATGTAACTTTGCATTGCAACCAAATTATAAAATAAATGCCCACAAGCAAAAGCTGATCTAAAATAAATTGTTTAAATAAATAAATGGAGGAGAAGAAACAAAGCTTCCTTACAGAAGTATTCGAATTACTTAGATGCTACCCCCTCTGGTCCCCGGCTTCCCTAACTTGAACATGAGTTGCATTCAGTGACTCACTTCTGAAGAGCAGGGTATGGAAAGGGGAAAAAAGAACGTCCCCTTACCGTGGAGAGACCTAGCAGACACCACCTTGTCTTGGCGGTCAGGGCTAGTGTCAGCGGCGTCATGCAGGTATCGTGTACCCCCTGAGGTGGCACATGAGGAGAGCCCTTCGCTTCTGTCATGGGCTCACTAAAAACTGAGAATCCCAATCTGAGCGGGAGAAAAACACCAGACAAACACAGATTGAAGGATATTCTGCAAAATACCTGACCGGTACTCGTTAAAGCTGTCTAGGTCATTAAAAACAAGGAAAGACTGAGAAATCATCACAGCCCAGGGGATTCTAAGGAGATATGACTACTAAGCATAATGTATGCCAAATAGGATTCCGGGACAGAGAAAGGACATTAAGGAAAAACTAATGAAATCCAAATAAAGCGTGAAATTTAGTTAGTAGGGCTGGATCCGTGCTGGTTTCTTAGTGGTGACAAATGTACCACAGTAGTGTAAGATGTTAACAATAGGGAGAGGAGTACAGGGAACTCTGTATTATCCTTGTAACTTTAAAAAAAGTTTTTTTTATAGAGCATGTGTGAGCGGGGGGAGAGGGCAGCTAGGGAGAGGGAGAGAGACAATCTTTTTTTTTTTTTTTTAAAGATTTTATTTATTTATTTGAGACAGAGAGAATGAGAGAGACAGAGAGCACATGAGAGGAGGGAGGGTCAGAGGGAGGAGCAGACTCCCTGCAGAGCAGGGAGCCTGATGCGGGACTCGATCCAGGGACTCGATCCAGGGACTCCAGGATCATGACCTGAGCCGAAGGCAGTCACTTAACCAACTGAGCCACCCAGGCGCCCGGGAGAGAGACAATCTTAAGCAGACTCCACACTCAGTGCAGAGCCTGACACGGGTCTCGATCTTACAACCCTGAGATCATGACCTGAGCTGAAATCGAGGGATGGACACTTAACCGACTGAGCCACGCACGCACCCCATCCTTGTAACTTTTGTATAAATCTAAAATTATTTTATTTTATTTTATTTTTTAAGATTTTATTTATTTATTTGACAGAGAGAGATAACAAGAGCAGGAACACAAGCGAGGGGAGTGGGAGAGGGAGAAGCAGGCTTCCCGCCGAGCAGGGAGCCCAATGCGGGGCTCGATCCCAGGACCCTGGGATCATGACCCGAGCCGAAGGCAGACACTTAACTACTGAGCCACCCAGGCGCCCCTATAAATCTAAAATTATTTTAAAAAGTTTATTTTAAAAAGTAATCATAGTATAAAAAGTAAATATGCCTTAGTTTTGGATAGTAAACACAGTCATAATAATATCAACTCCGAATACTGATTTATTAAAAATTACACATGAATATATTAGGGGAGTTAGCTCAAGAGAAAGAGGTTCCATTAAGTTCTTTAAGTTCCACTATCTCATACATAAGTGATATGGAGGTAAATAACAAAACAGTCAAAGCTCAGAGTTGTAAATGGCTGCCCCTGGGAGGAAATTAGTCAGTGGGATCTGCATTTTATTTTTGTTTTAAAGAAGCCACATAGAATTATTTGACTCTAAACTATGTGCACATGTTACTTTGGTAAAAACAAATGTAGAAAATGTGGATGGGGAAAAAAGGCAAAGCATCTGTTTTTGAATTTTGGCTTGGGGACCCAGAATATAAACTTGTATTTATTTATTTTTTATTATTATGTTATGTTAATCACCATACATTACATCATTAGGTTTTGGTATAAACTTTTGGTGGGGATCACTCTTCTGTTGTCCCCCCATGCAGCTGGTAATGACTATTGAAAAATCTGAAATTTTCACCACTGAAGCTTAAATCTTACAAATGAAAATGAGGAAAGTTAAATTTACTTTTGTAGTACAGTCTTTGTTTGATAACTGTATTGCTTTTAGATTTTGTTGTTGTTATTTCAGTGAGAAAAGGTGTTAAGCTGAATGTTCAGTCCTTCTGTCTTCTATTCCTGAAGAAGATATTTGGTCAGCACCAAAAAAACCACATATCTACAGTATATAATAAGATTTTTCTTTTTTTTCTTTTTTCTTTCCCAATGTTAAATGTTCTTTTTCTCTTTCTCTCCCTCTCTTCTTCCCTCCTGTTCTTTGCTCCTTCCTTTCTTCCTAGTGGGGTTATTGCTCAAATACTGTCGTTTATGCTTATACCAGACCTGATCGTCCAGAGTATTGTGTTATCTTTTGGGATACGAAAAACAATGAGAAATATGTTAAATATGTGAAGAGTCTCATTTCTATTACTACCTGTGGAGATTTCTGCATTTTGGCTACAAAAGCTGATGAAAATCATCCTCAGGTGGGTGTTCCTTTATATGTTAAAGCTAAGATGGGTTAACCTCTACCTTCTTAAGCATAGCCTCTGTACTGGTAGGTGCAGCAAAGTATTGGGTCTACTGGCCATGTCTGTCTAGACCTCTGTTTTGGAAAATTATGTGACTCCATTGGTTCTCTGTCCCCTGTTTTTTTTCTCCTATCAGCTAATCCATTAGCATTTCATATTGACCAGGTCAGTACGGAAGCTTTTTGTCTCTGAAATATATTTAAAATGCCATACTCCTTTTCCAAGTTAAAATTCCACAAGGAAAAATGAATATCCAGATGTCTAGTATAAACGCTCAAGAAATTATGTAATGATGACCATTATAACACTTTGGGTAGCTTTGGCACTGAGAAATATACTTTTATTTGGAATTACATTGCTTTAAAAATCAATGTCTCACAGGGTAAAATAAATAATGTAAATAATGCCTTTCTAAAAAGTATGCTAACAATTTAAATATTTGCAGAAGCTTATAAATTTTTTTTTAAAAAGGATTACCATTGTCTTTGGCTGGGTTATAAATTATTTTAGCCCGTTAAAAAGTATAGAATTTTTAGTTTAAGGTGGCCATTTGAACAGCCACCTTTGGCCCTGTTCTCTCCTGAAACTCACAAAACAACAATAAAGGTATTTTTTAAAAAGTCATAAGCCCATAGGGACCAGAAAGGGAGAGGAAATGGCAACATAGTTTTAGAGGTTAAAGAGTAGGTGGATTAGTGGTAATTACCTTAGCAGACCTAGGAAAGCTGAATCCTAAGTCATCAATGGAGAAAGCAAAGAAGAAACCAGTTTTCATCCCAGAATCCTGAAGAGACACAGGACTTAATGGTACCTGGTAGGAGAAAGAAACGAATGGAAAAACAATTTGGAAGTAATAGAGATTATGCAAGAAGGAGAAAATTAAAAACAAAACATATAAAGAGTCCTGTCTGAAGAATCTGACCAGTTCAAGAGAAAAGACCTCTTAAAGTTACTCCTGTGGGGAGTCACCAAGGAAAGCTCCCTGCCCCATCACCTTACTGTGAAGACCAGAGTCATGGGGCTCACTCATAAACAAATAGATTCCAAACAGCTTTTTAGTGTCATACTCTTAAATAGAAGCAGATAGACAAGGATTGTCAGACATTTGAGAAAAGCATCTCATTTAACAGACACAAAAAAATAAACACAAGGAGAAAAGAATTGGGAGGAAGCAGAGACTATGCAGGGAGAAGAACAATGCAGAATAATTTCAAATTATCTTCCTAGAGTTAAGAGATACTACATCCATAAAAGAAGGAAGGAATGCTATAGAAAAGGAAGTTTTTGGAAATTACAAATATGATAACAGCAATGAAAAATTTGGCAGAGGGGTTAGAAGATAAAATGAAGGAAAACTCCTGTAAAGCAGAACAAAAAGACAAGGAAATGGAAAACAGGAGTGAATAGATAAGAAAATCAAAGGACCAGACCTGGAAGTTCAGTGAACAGGCAAAGTGGAAGAGAGTAATTCTGAAGAAAATATTCAAGAAAATTTCCCTTGACTTTCTAGATTGAAAGTGCCTAGCTCAGTGAATGGAAATATTTCCACATCAAGGCACATCGTTGTGAACTTTCAGAACACTGGGGATAGAAAAATCCTATAAGCTTTCAGAAAAACAGACTTCATAGGGTCAGGTGTCATCATGGCATTCAACTTGTCAACAGCAATACTTTGGAGAATTGCTTTTGAAATTTTGAGGGAAAATGATTTCCCATCTTGAATTCTATATGTTAAGCAAACTATGAATTACAATGAAGGTAGGAGACAGATTATGCTTCCAGCATGAAGGTTTTGGACACGATGGTGTTGCCGGTCCAGGTCTCTGCTCATCAATCTCGGCCACTGCTCTGCCTGTTCCTCGACATTGCCTACGGAGCCAAGCTCAAGTTACCTGAAACCTCGGGCAGAAGAGGAAAGGAGGAGAGCAGCTGAGGAGAAAAAGAAGCAGGATGAACAGAATGGGTTGAGAGAGAACTGGCAGAAGCCCAAGAGGACAGCATACTAAAGTGAGCCTGCCTTTCTCTGGAATGGTGTGGATGAATAAAGGTTCCTGTGTTGTGTGAAAAAATAAAATAAAATGAAGGTAGGGGAAAGACATTTTTAGATGTACAAGGTCACCGAAAATTTATCTTCAAGCTTTCTTATCTTAGTTACTTCAGGATATGGCCGACCAAAATGAGGACTAGACCAAGAAAGATGAAACTGGATAACCCGACAGCAATGGTGAAGAGTGGTACCAGCTGACAGTGTGTGGCATGCCTAGTGTGTCATCAGATGACAGCACGTAATATGACTGCAAAGGAAACTCAAGATGAAATTAATAGAACACTTAATGTGGTTGAACCCTTGAGAGGAGACACATACCTGGGAGGTAACTGGGGACTTAAGTTAGTAATCAATACAGAGAAACTAGCAAAGAGAAAAAAATAAAGACAATTACCAACCACAGGGAAAGCAAAATGCACTTGAAAGGAGAATAAATTGTGACATACTTAAAAATCAGCTATGAATAACACTTACATAGTCAAAATGATGTTTTTTAAATGGATTTTTTTAGTTAAATGGATTTTTAATTAAAAAGAGCCTTTTATTTGGAGCTTAATGACCATATTAACCCCTAAAATTCTGATCTAACAAAATGGTAGGTGGGAAGCTGGAGGCATAGGGGTGTGCCCTGTGTTGGGGGCTGGGAAGGGGGCTGAAAGAGAGTTACATACCTATCTGTGATAGTGGGAAGTCAGTAGAGAATGTCCCAGATCTAAACAGAACAAAACAAGAAGTAGCATCATAAACACATTATTTAGGTTTGTGGAGGTAAATATCAAAAAGATGAGTTAAAGGAGCTGAAAGTTGTTACTTCAGGGAGCAGAAAATGGGAAGTTAGTGGGGAACTTCTATTTTTTTTTTTTTTAAAGATTTTATTTATTTATTTGAGAGAGAGAGAGAGAGCACATGAGAGGGGGGAGGATCAGAGGGAGAAGCAGACTCCTCGCTGAGCAGGGAGCCCGATGCGGGACTCGATCCAGGGACTCCAGGATCATGACCTGAGCCGAAGGCAGTCGCCTAACCGACTGAGCCACCCAGGCGCCCCGGAACTTCTATTTTTAATAAGTCTTATGGAACTACTTCATTCTTTAACCTTGAGCATGTAGATTACATGTGGATTAAAAAATATACATTATTTGTGGTACTTTGTGGCAGTAAATCAGCTTGTTTTAAGTAGTAGAAGAATAAATTATATTTCTGTACAATTTTTGTCATTTAGTTTCTTAAAAATTTTCCTTAAACATTTTTTCCTTATTTGTTTTTCAGAGCCCTGTCTGAAAAACAAACAGGGTTCTAGAGGGGAGGGGGGTGGGAGGATGGGTTAGCCTGGTGGTGGGTATTGAGGAGGGCACATTCTGCATGGAGCACTGGGTGTTATGCACAAACAATGAATCATGGAACACTTCATCTAAAACTAATGATGTAATGTATGGGGATTAACATAAGAATAAAAAACCCCATTTTTTCCTTAAATTTTTAATTGTATTTATTTTTAAAAGATTTTATTTATTTTTATTTTATTTTTTTAAAGATTTTATTTATTTGACAGAGAGAGAGAGAGGGATAGTGAGAGAGAGAGAGCACAAGCGGGGGGAGCGGCAGGCAGGCTGAGGGAGAGGGAGAAGAAGGCCCCCATAGAGCAAGGATCCCGATGTGGGGCTCGATCCCAGGATCCTGGAATCATGACCTGAGCTGAAGGCAGCTGCTTAACCGACTGATCCACCCAGGCACCCCTATTTATTTATTTTTAGAGAGAGAGAGAAACCTGTGTGCCTGCATGTGAGCGGGGTCGAGGGAAGGGGGGAAGGGCAGAGGGAGAAGGAGAGAATCTCAAGCCAACTCTGCTCTCAGCATGAAGCCCGATGCAGGGCTTGACCCCAGGACCCTGAGATCATGACCTGAACATGAGGACTCAGAAATCGAGTCAGATGCTCACCTGACTGAGCCACCCAGGTGCCTCTAAATTTTTAACTTTAATTCCAGTATTATTAACATACAGTGTTATATTAGTTTCAGGTATACAATATAGTAACTCAACAATTCTGTACATGACTCAGTGCTCATTATGATAAGTGTACTCTTAGTCTCCTTTACCTATTTCCTCCCCACCCCCCCACGCCCCGGTAGCCATCAGTTTGTTCTCTATAGTTAAGAGTGTGTTTCTTGCTTTGTCTCTCTCTCTCTTTTTTTTTCTTTGCTCATTTGTTTTGTTTCTTAAGTTCCACATATGAGTGAGATCATATGGTGTTTGTCTTTCTCTGACTTATGTCGCTTAGCATTATACTCAGTAGCTCCATCCATGTTGTTGCAAATGGCAGGATTTCATTCTTTTTGATGGCTGAGTAATATTCCATTGCATGTATCTATACACCACATCTTCTTTATCCATTCATCTATTGATGGAGACTTGGGCTGCTTCCATAGTTTAGCTGTTGTAAATAATGCTGCAGTACACATAAGGGTGCATTTATCTCTTTGAATTCGTGTTTTTGTATTTTTTGGGTACTCAGTAGTGTAGATTCCCGGATCATGGGCTGGCTCTATTTTTAAGTTTTTGAGGACCCTCCATACTGTTTTCCAGCAGTGTGGCTGCACCAGTTTGCATTCCCACCGACAGTGCCTAAAGATCCATTTAGTTTATATTTATGAAATCAAAGAAGTTTTACTTAAGCTGAAAAAAAGAGAGAAAGACTATATGTAAATAGTACATAGAGAATTGGTTTATTTGAAATCATTCTTTTCAGGAGAACATCTAAGTAAAACAGTATTCTTAGCACAAGATAATAGAAAAGGTAACAGAGTAAAATTAAATTATCACTTTAGAATGATATGGTGTAAAGTGTGCATTATACTTGATTATTTTCCTTAATATTAATTATTGGTAATTGTGTTTGTGCTAACTAGTGGACATTGTAAGTCATTTTTCACTAGATTGGATTATATTTTTTTCTGAGTTAACTGATTTTTTTCTGAATTTCTCATATCCTTTTTATATTGCTTCAAAGGAGGAGAACGAGATGGGAACATTTGGTGCAACGGTAACAAATTAAATTAGTTCTTATATAGCTGATCACAGGATGAAAATGAGTTTTGAGGTTACAGCTGATCAGAAGTTTTAGAAGTGTAAATAATGAAAAGTAGCCAGTGTACTTGCGTTTCTTAGGTGGCCTCTTAAAAACCACAATGTTCCATTATATTGAGAAATCAGCCTTGGTTTAATTTTAATTCATGTTTCTTTATGTTTAATGCTGTAGATTATATTCTTTGCACTTAACACTTTTATCAGTTATTTCCCAGTCGTGATACTAAGCATGATATCTTTTTTTTTTTTTAATTTTTTTTTTTTATTTTTTAAAGATTTTTTTATTTATTTATCTGAGAGAGAGAATGGGAGACCGAGAGCATGAGAGGGGGGAGGGTCAGAGGGAGAAGCAGACTCGCTGCTGAGCAGGGAGCCCGATGTGGGACTCGATCCCGGGACTCCAGGATCATGACCTGAGCCGAAGGAAGTCGCTCAACCGACTGAGCCACCCAGGCGCCCTAAGCATGATATCTTAAGCATTGTTTCCTTTATTTTAAAGAAGCAGGAGCTCTGATACTCTTTGTTTTTTGTTCACAGTTTGTGCTTGTTCTTTGTAATTCTATTGGCACACCTTTGGATCCCAAGTATATTGATATTGGTAAGGAAATGTTAATGTCTATTCCTTTTTTAATCAATCTTTATTTGTAACACTAATTTAAAAACCTAACAATGGTATTATTAATTAAAATGGTATTCTCCAAGATAAGGATGACCATTCTTCCTGGTTTGCCAAGTCTAGCACCAGTTTATGCCTATTGTCGTGGTAAAATTATTAATAATGCTCCACTTCACTGTTAGAAGTATCCTGTTTAATACAATAAATTATAGGTTACTGTATCTAAAAGCCACAGTAATCTCATGAATGCTATACTGCCATCATTTGCTTTCAATGGGAAATATAATTGTATAGGAATTGGTATGCAGCATAAGGATTAGCATGTAATAAACTGAGGATTGTAGAAAGAATTTTGCTGTTAAACCACTTTTATTATTAATAAACTGCTTGTAAATACCTCTCTCCCATAAAAACACTTTAGCTGCTTGTAAAAGTGCATTTGCTCTTTCCAGATTTTTCTAATGAAATCAGTCAGTTAATAGGGACAGCTTTCACAAATTCCTTTTTGTTTTCAGAAGACATTTGTTACTTTAGATTTACCATTTCTTCTAGCTAACAGCTATGAAAGTCGCCATTAAAAAATTGCACATCTTACTCTAAGTTTTTTTGTTAAAAATCATTACCAAATATTTCGTTGCCGTTTCACTGCAACTTCCAAAAGTAACATTTTTTTTAAGTGTGGTAGTTTATTGAATATGGTATTAGAAAAGTTATTAGATTTCAAAAATTGAAAACCCATTGAATTATTTTCTGAATCTGAGAGCTTGTCATTTTTTTTTTTAGATTTCATGTTCAATCTTAATCAGATGTTAGTGTCTGTCTTCTAAGTATATTTTGCTAAACTCTTTGGGTGATACAAGCAAATGAGAGAAATACTTACTGGCTTCAAGGATTTTATATTCTCTGTTCAGGGTCTTGGTAACTCACTTTTATATAGTGAAACTTTTCAGCTTCATGTCTTACGTTCATTGTTACTTAGGTATATGTTTATATATGTGCACACATGTATATGTTAGTGTTCCTTATTAAAAGTCTTCACTTAAAATTACTACAGATTCTTGTTACATGAATGTCTTCTGTTAGAAACATAATAGTCTTTAAGGTGTGAATTCTGTCAGTCTTTAGATTATAGGCTTTTTCTTTTGATATCAAAAGTTTTAACATAGAATAATGATGATAGGGTTAGCCTCAAAGTAATTTTAATCACAGGTAGTCTTTTTTTTTTTTTTTTTTCATGAAGCCAGATGTCAATCCTTCACCTTCATAAAATGGCCAATACTTGAGGGCATGATTATTTGTATTTTTGAGTCTCGAAACTTTTTTTTTCTTTTTGCAGTCTCGCTGGCTGAAATTTTAACAAACAGTTCTTTCATTGGTCTGCAGTAAACCCAGCCAAGGACTCAACATTTTTGTTTCATACATATCCTGTAAAATTCCTTTTTTCAGTTTGTATGCCAAATTTTCATGAGGGCCAGAGGCGAAAATGAAAAAAGTATGTAACTGATGTTTTTCTGGAAAGTGTAATTTTTGTTGTGCTACCTACTCTTCCTCCTGACAAACTCTATAGGAACTTTTTTAAAGAACTTTATACATTATTATAGAAGTTTAGTCCGTGGGACTCTTGTTCTGTACATGAAGGAGTTAGGTGCCCGTTTTTGGTGCTCTTCCTTTGCTTCCTTAAAATACCTTTGGTGCACTTCTATTCACAGTACTGCTTTTTACTCTGCACTGTGATTATCGATGTTCTTGTTAGTCTTCCCCACAAGATTTTGAGCTTCTTAAAGATCTATGTCTTACTCATTTCTGTGTCTCCTCTACCTAACTCTATGCCTGCCCCATAACAAATGTTTATTGAACATATGGAAAATATTTATTTTCTATCATGAAAATAGAAAATGATAATTCATTTATTTAGCAAACCTTCAGTGAGTTTCAGGTCCTGCACCGGGTATCTGGAGTTATAAGAAATTGACTTTGAAACTTCCTGTAGGATATTTAAACAAATAATGAAATATAGTTACTCAGTTGAACACTGGCTTACTGCTCCCCCATCTGTGTGCTAGGATAAGTGGATGTTGGTGAGTAAGGACAGCAGGGACATCTTTCCTACTTAGAGACAGTTTCATTTGACCTGAATTTCGAAGGATAAGTATTTCTTCAGGTGACTTTTTAAGGAGAGAAAACAGCATTTGCAGAGGATTGGAGGCATGGAAAGTGCCTGAAAGTACCAGGTGCCTGTACTTTGGCCATTTTGGTGAGAGCATGTCGGTGGCTTTCCAATGATGGTCTCTAACACATGCACTGAGTCCTCCATATAATCTAGAAAAAGGCAATTTGATGAAAACATGTCAGTGCAGTTTCAGTTTACCAGCTCTTTAAGGGGCTGAGAAATGAATAGGAAAGTAGGGGAACATTACAGATGTAGACATTTATTTCAGGCCTCAGCATTAAAATATTACAAGCAGGTTTTACTTATATGTGAGTTCCTAGATTGTTTTAAGTTATTTTATATTCTTGCTTGCCTAGTAACTACTCCTTCTTAGTGTTACAAAGTTCAGTTAATGGAAGCATAATTTTTTTTTATTAGTTTCAGAGGTAGAATTTAGTGATTCATCAGTTGCATGTAATACCCAGTGCTCATTATATCAAGTGCCCTCCTTAATGCCCATCACCCAATTATCCCTTCCCCCACCCACCTCCCCTCCAGCAACCCACAATTTGTTTCCTAGAGTTCAGCGTCTCTTATGTTTTGCCTCCCTCTCAATTTTCATCTTATTTTATTTTTCCTTCCCTTTCCCTATGTTCATTTGTTTTGTTTCTTAAATTCCACATATGAGTGAAATCATATGGTATTTGTTTTTCTCTGACTGACTTATTTTGCTTAGCGTAATACCTTCTAGTTCCTTCCATTGTCATTGCAAATGGTAAGATTTCATTCTTTTTGATGGCTGAGTAATGTTCCATTGTGTGTGTGTGTATGTGTGTGTGTGTATATACCACGTCTTCTTTATCCATTCATCTGTCGATGGACATCTGGGCTGCCCCTTCAAATCACTATGTTTGCATCCTTTTTTTTTTTTTTTAAGATTTTATTGATTTATTTGACAGAGAGAGACACAGCGAGAGAGGGAACACAAGCAGGGGGAGTGGGAGAGGGAGAAGGAGAAGCAGGCTTCCCGCCGAATAGGGAGCCCGATGCGGGGCTCGATCCCAGGACCCTGGGACCACGACCCGAGCCGAAGGCAGACGCCTAACCGACTGAGCCACCCAAGCGCCCCGTATGTTTGCATCCTTTGCATAAATACCTAGTAATGCAATTGCTGGGTCATAGGATAGCTCTATTTTTAACTTTTTGAGGAACCTCCATACTGTTTTCCAGAGTGGCTGCACCACTTTGCATTCCCACCAAGAGTGTAAGAGGGTTCCCCTTTCTCCACATCCCCGCCAACATCTGTCATTTCCTGACTTGTTCATTTTAGCCATTCTGACCCGTGTGAGGTGGTATCTCATTATGGTTTTGATTTATATTTCCCTGATGCCAAGTGACGTTGAGCATTTTTTCATGTGTCTGTTGGCCATTTGGATGTCTTCTTTGGAGAAATGTCTGTTCATGTCTTTTGCCCATTTTTTGAGTGGATTATTTGTTTTTTTGGGTGTTGAGTTTGGTAAGTCTTTATGGATCTTGGGTACTAGCCCTTTAACTGTTATGTCATTTGTAAATATCTTCTCCCATTCTGTAGGTTGCTTTTAGTTTTGTTGCCTGTTTCCTTTGCTGTGCAAAAGCTTTTTATTTTGATGAGGTCCCAATAGTTCATTTTTGCTTTTGTTTCTTTTGCCTTTGGAGACATGTTTAGCAAGAAGTTGCTGTGGCTGATGTCAAAGAGGTGCCTGTGTTCTTCTCTAGGATTCTGATGGATTCCATCCATTTTGAGTTTATTTTTGTGTATGGTGTAAAAGAGTGGTCCAGTTTCATTCTTCTGCATGTGGCTGTCCAATTTTCCCAACACCATTTGTTGAAGAGACTGTCATTTTCTTAAAAATTTTTTTCCCAATAATCATTCTAGATATTTGAAATTTTTTTGTAGATAATGAATAGTTGAGAAGGGCGTGGAGTGCTTTTATCCTGGTTGTGTTCTTTTTCTAAAATGTTCTATCTGTTAAAATTTAGATTCTTAACTTTTTCCTGGAGGTTTAGTTCTAGGAAACTAAGAATGAATCCACCTGGATGGGTTGGATCTTTTAATGAATATCTAGCATAATTTTTGTAGGTAGGATTATCTACCTATATGAATTTGCTGAAATTACTACCCTACTGATTCAAAAGAATGTATGTTTCAGATACATTTGTATTTGTTTTTTATATTGACCGGTGGGTTTGTGTGTGATTTTATTATAAAAACCTATGTAGGTAATAAAAGTAAAGAAAATAATAGTAACCACATCTAATACTTATTAACCCTTAATGAGAAGCATGATGCCATAGTGGTTAAGGACACAGCTTCTGGAGCCAGTTTAACTGGGCTTGTGTCCCACCTTCTCCCACTTTCCAGCTGTGTGTTCAGCAAGTTATTTAACTCCTCCATCTTTCTGTGTCTTCATCTGCTACATGGGGATAATAATGCCTACCTCAAGGAGTAGTTGTGTGAGTGAGAATAGATACTATGGAGTATTTTCATTATATATTAATACAATTATATATTATATATAACTATGTGATTATAATTAGTATATTACAATATGTACCTGGTATATATATACATTTAAAATTCAATAAATATTGGCTTTGAAGTGATTATTAAGCCTTTATTCTATTCCAGGCACTGTACTATGCTTTATGTTTACTATCTCTTTTAATCTTTAAGCAGCTGTATAAGGTTGGTATTATTATCATCTTCAGTTGCAGTGAGTAAACTGAGGTTCAGAGAGAATAAGTGATTTTTCTAAGGCCACAGAGTTAAGCAAGAACCTGTTGCTTTAATCCCAAAGTCTGACTCTTTCCATGAACCACTAACATTTTACTTTTGAATTAATCAGGCTAACGATTAGTTATTGTGATTATTTAGGATGTATCAGAAAGGAACAGGGGCGCCTGGGTGGCTCAGTCAGTTAAATGTCTGCCTTGGGCTCAGGTCATGATCCCAGGGTCCTGGGATTGAGTCCCACTTCAGGCTCCCTGCTCAGCGGGAGCCTGCTTCTCCCTCCTTCCCGCTTGTGCTATCTCTTGCTATCTCTGTCACTATCTCTCTCAAATAAATAAACAATCTTAAAAAAAAAAAAAAGGAACATGAATATAATTTAGTTGTAGGTAAACAGTGGATAGAGGAATGCTTTTATATGCTTAAGAAAAATTGTATTATTAGAAAGTAGTTTAAAAGTTTGTGAGCTTCCTTTAAATCACACTAAGGGCATAATAGTTGGCATTAGATAATGTGTCTGTGGTAGAATTTACTAAACATTTAGCAAAGGTCTTAGGATTTAGTGAAGAGCCGGGGTCAGAGAAAGCTGAGCAAAGCCTGGGCCTGGCGTGCTCATTCATCCCACTCCGCACTCCCCAGGGCTTTGCTCCCCTTCTCCAGGACTGCCTTTCAACCGCTTGTTCCCTACAGGAAAGGCTTCTGGCTCCCTCTAGAGTTCAACAATAGTATGTGTTTTGAATAGAACAATCTTGACAGTTTTAATGAAAAAGGTTTTTTTTTTAGTATGATTCAACTAACTGAATTACTTAGCATATAAAAATTCTTGAATTTGAAACCCAAAGTTGGTAATCTCCTTAATTAACATTTCACCATTCGTCTGGTTTCTAATTCTTAGTCCACTTTCCAAGTCTCTTCCTGCCTTAAATATCTTCTTGGACTGTGGCAAGAGCTCCCTAAATGGTAGAGCTACTACTGACACCATTCCTTTATTCTGGCCGTACGAGTACTTTGCTTAATAGTTAATAAAACATAAGTTTTACACTATTCTCATTATTCATGAGTTTAGAAAACAGGTACTAAAATGATCTTTTATGAAGGATTTTTTTGTTTGTTTTTACATATTTTGTGTGAATGTGTGTGCTTACTTTTATGGTGTTTAGTTTGTTTTGCGACCATGGGCAAGTTATTTTACTTCTTTATTCCTCCATTTAAAAATTTTTGAGATAGATTTGATAAGACTGTGTCATCAAAGGGTACACAGTAGGAGCTAATTAAATGTTCTTTAAGAAACAGAACAGAAAGGAGCACGTGGGTGGCCCAGTTGGTTAAATATCTGCCTTCAGCTCAGGTCATGATCCCAGGATCCTGGGACCAAGCCCTGGGTAGGGCTCTCTGCTTAGTGGGGAGCCTGCTATGCCCCCTGCTTGTGCTCTCTCTCTTTCTCTCTCTCTGTCAAATAAATAAAATCTTCAAAAAAAGAAAAACATGAAAAAGATGAAAAAAAGTTACATGTTTAGGAGAATATTTCTGAAATTAGGAAGGAACTTTGGAGAATTTTCTTTCCTAAATTAATGAGGAAATATAAGACGTGAGATTGGAGGGAAGGATAAAGGCCCAAAACAAGCAGTAATAATAGTGGGGACAGGTGGAAGGAGTGGGAGTTGATTTATTCATCAGTTAATGGACATTTGGGCTATTTCTACTTTTTGGCTATTATGAACAATGCTGTTCTGAACATTTGTGTGTGAGCTTTTGTGTGGACAAGTGTTTTCATTTCTCTTGGGTATATACCTAGGAGTGGAGTTGTTGGGGCCTGTGGTAACTCTGTATTTAACATTTGGAGAAACTGCCAAACTATTTTTCAAAGTGGGCGCACCACTTTATTTTCTTACCATTTCTGTACATCCTTGGCAATACTCATTATTGTCTAGCCTTTTGATTTTAGCCATTAAAATGGGACGGAAGTAGTATCTCATTGTGGTTTTGATTTGCATTTGCTTGATGGCTAATACTGTTGAACATCTTTTCCTTTGCTTACTGGCTGTTTGTATATCTTCATTGGAGAAATGTCTGTTCAGATCTTTTGCCCATTTTTTAATTGGGCTGTTTATCTTTTTATTATTGAATTCTAAGAGCTCTTTACATATTCTAGAAACAATTCCTTATCACATATATGATTTACAAATACTTCCTTCTGTGGGCTGTCTTTTCACTTTTTTGATGGTGTCCTTTGAAGCACAAATGTTGGGGCGCCTGGGTGGCTCAGTTGGTTAAGCATCTGCCTTCCGCCTCAGGTCATGATCTCAGGGTCTTGGGATCGAGCCCCACGTTGGTGTTTCCTGCTCTGCGGAGAGCGTGCTTCTCCCTTTCCCACTGCTCATGCCCTCTCTCACTATCTTCCTCTCTCTCAAATAAGTAAAATCTTAAAAGAAAAAGTCTTTTGAAGCACAAATGTTTTTAATTTGATGAAGTCCAGTTTATCATCTCCATTTTGTTTTGTTGCTTGTGCTTTTGGTGTCATCTCTAAGAAACTCTTGACTAATCCACGGTCACAAAGATTTATTCCTAAGTTTTTTTTTTTCTTCTAGGATTTCTACAGTTTTAGCTCTTACATTTAGGTCTTTGATCCATTTTGATGTAGCATTTTTGTATAGTTCTACAAGCTTTTGATTCTTTTTTGATTTTAGAGACTGTGTGTGAGGTATATTGTCTGCAATGAGGAGTCGAATGCAGTGCTCACTGAATTCCTTTGCAGCACAAACATTCTGCGTTTCTGTGTAACTGTAACCTAACTGTCTTAACGCTCTTTTTAATAGTACCGTTATTCGTTGCAATGACCAAAACGCATGTGGTAGCGGCTTCAAAAGAAGCATTTTATACCTGGCAGTATCGTGTGGCAAAGAAGCTCACAGCATTGGAAATTAATCAGATCACGCGGTCTCGGAAAGAAGGGAGAGAAAGGTACGTCTTTTGATGTATGGTTTCTAGTAGCTCAACCCTATCGCATTTAAATTAGACATAGTTAATTATAAATTGTCATGCTTGAGAACTGTAGATTGTTTTGGTTACTAGAAATAATATTTTTCCATTAACTTCAAAACCTTTCAAATTATTTGTCTAAATTTATCAAAATAGATGAGAGGTAGCGTGGTGTAATTAAAGAAAGCCCTTGGAGATAGAGTGGAAATCTGTGTTTTTATAAGGAAATAGCTGTTCTCACTCATCTGTACTTACCATATTAGGATAAAGCATAAATATGGTTATTCAAGTGAATGCCTAACCAAAGCTTCATTCTTACGGGTTAGTGGATAGGTGTTTCCAGAAGGGTGGGGGTGATTCTAGTATCAGTCTCCATAGGAGAGATTCTCAGACAGGTTCTTAGATAGGGAGGAGGTCTTCAGGTGGGGCGAACTGGTCACTTGGCTTCTTTTTCTTGCCGTGGATTCGAGGGAATCTAGGATGGGGGGATTCCCTGTAGTAAGTTTCAAGGTCCAGATGCATTTACTGTGTTTTGTTAGTTATATTGTCTCTGTTGGTGATACTCTTTTTGCCCTTTTGTTGTTACCCTAAGCCTTTAAAGAAGGCATTTTGTTGAGTGTTCCAAGCTAATAATTCTTAATCAGGGCATAGGTCTGTGTTGGTGGGAGTGGGCAACAGGGGTCATGTCAGAGCATCTTCCCTCACACATGCTTGAGATCTTAATGCAATCTTCCTTTCCCTTTAAGACTCACTCATGTACTAAGATAGGAGAAATGTCCCCAGTAAAAATATTTTAGATATGTGAATTCATATGGAAACAAACAAACAAAAAAAACCCAAACCAAACCAAACCAAAACAAACCAGCTGAGGGACACCTGGGTGGCTCAGTTGGTTATGCGTCTGACTCTTGATTACGGCTTAGGTCATGATCTCAGGGTTGTGAGATTGAGCTCTGTGTTGGGCATGGAGCCTATTTAAATTCTCTCACTCTCTCCCTCCCTCCCTCTCCACCACTTCTCCCTCTCTAAAACAAAACAAAACAAAACAAAACAAAAACCTCCAAATGGTTGAAAAATACGGTATCTTGTTTTCTTAGTAGTTCTGAAAGTCTAAATAGGAAGAACCTTTGGCCTCTCTCAGGACAGCATGTGACAGTGGTAGCAATAATAAGCAAGGGAACCACAGTCTGCAGGGAGATCTTAGGACAAAGTTGGAACTGAAAAGTCTAGCCTCTACATAGAGTAAGTGTCCTCTGAGAGCCAGCTAAAGATATTCTGGCTTAAGATGGCAGCATCTCCCTCTGTTTCTGTCTGGGACACACTTACTGGTTTTAATGATTGGGCAGGTTCTCTCTGGGCCTCAGTTTCCTCATCTGTAAAATATGGTGGATGATGGTGAGAACAGCCATCACTGATTGAGTACTTCTAATATGCTAGATACTACAGTAAGCCTAGTCAGTACTCTTATTAATCCTGTTTCAGAGAGGGAACTAAGACACAGGAGCTTAATTTATTTGCCAAAGGTCACCAGCTGATAAGTTGAAATGGGACATAGAGTCAGGTTGATCTGGCTCTGAAATGCTTACTCAGATTGGCCTTTCTTGTAGCACTTTCCTTGTTTTAAGAGAGGGAAGATGGTCACATGATCTTGAGAGACCGCCTATTCTGACCTTTGACTTTTATTTTGTGATAACTAAGTAGAATAATAATAGTAGCTGGATATACTTAATAGAAATGTATTAAAATGCAGAAACCTGGTACCTCTAAATTTATTATTTTCTTTTTTTAATATATTTTCTTTCTGCATTTAATACATTGCTGTTTAACACTTGATCTCATTATATTAATGAAAGTACAATTATGATTTCAATTTAACAATGATAAAATTTCATGATATTTTAAAGACAGAAAATGGCTTGATTTTCTTGTGACTGTATTCCATCTATGACTTCTTGATGATCAGGCTCTGTGCATATGTGCTTTACAAACATCATTTTATTTATGCCTCTTAAAAAACCCTGAAAAAGGTTGCCCTTATTCTCCACATGGAGAAATTGGGGCTCAGAGAGGTTAAGTAGCTTGTGAGGGCCTCATAGCTACTCTATGATGTATCCTCCCTATTCACCTTCACTCATTTTAATATTTTTCCAGCAGACATAGAGCACCTGACAGTGTGTGGCACTGTGCTGGGCACTGGAGACATGGTCTTTGCCTCCAGGAAACTCCTCAACTGGTGTGAGAGACAAGTAAAGTAGTAGAGATGCTATGGTGTGAATAGTATTATATTGAAGGTATCAGATGGAGGAAATCCAAAAAGAGTGCATCTTCACAACACAGGGAACATAAGAATGCTTTTTTTTTTTTTAAGATTTTTTTATTTATTCATTTGTCAGAGAGAGCCCAAGCAGGGGGAGAAACAGGCAGAGGGAGAAGCAGGCTCCCTGCTGAGCAAGGAGCCTGATGCGGGACTCGAGCCCAGGACCCTGGGATCATGACCCGAGCTGAAGGCAGATGCTTAACTGACTGAGCCACCCAGGCATCCCAAGAATTATTCTTCATTTCAGAACAAAAATTCCATTAATTAGAGCTTCCCAAATACATTTAAGCTTTACCTTTATTAAGCACATTGATAGGGAAATTATGGAGAAATAAGAGAAACTTAGTGTATTGAAGTTATTTCTGAGTGATGTTCATTTGCAGAATAAGGTAAAATATCTGTTGGGGCTTAATGAAATTTATTGGAAATATGTGATTCAATGTTCAAATATGTTTTTGGCATAACTTTCAGGAACATATCACTTGCATAACTAGTAAACACCTGGTAGGTAGTTTCTACCTTTATGGGATCGAGCTGTGTCAAGAACTCTTTAAAATAATCAGGACATTTATGTTACATAGTAGTATTAATTGGCATTATCCAGTCTTTTAATTGTTTTAGAGATTATGAAATGGTATAACCTGTACTTAGACCATCTTTGAAATTCTCACTTATTTTTTCTCCAGAATTTATCATGTTGATGATACTCCTTCTGGATCAGTGGATGGGGTGCTTGATTATAGTAAAGCCATTCAAGTAGGTGATCTTATTATTGCCAGCAAATGTTGGTATCTGTAAATTTCAAAATACTCTAACTTTATTTTGAGATCTGAGAATTTTTTACTGAATAGCATCTTATTCTAGTAATTCTTTAAAAAATGTCTATTCTGAAAACCTTTTTTCTTGGCCTGCTTTTTTTTCTTCTTTTGACTTTTAAAAACATTTTTGAAATAATTACAGGCTCACGGGAAGTTGCACAGATAGCACATAGAACCTCTTTACCCTGCTTCCCTCAGTGGTGACATCTATAACTGTAGGATAATATCAAAAACAGGAAATTGATATTGGTAATGACACTGTTAACTGGACTCCCACTGATTCCTTACTCAGTTTTCACTAGTTTTTCCATGTACACCCATGCGCGTAGTTTCATGTCGTCTTACCATCAGGAAGGGACATGCCTCATGCGAGTTCTCCACTTTTGCACTTGCTCTCCACCCCGTCCCTGCCCCCTGGCAACCACGAATCTGTTTCCATCTCTAGTTTTGTCACTCTGCGAATTTTTTAAATGAAGGGAATCCTGTAACATGTAACCTTTTGAAATTGGCTTTTTCGCACTAAGCTTATAAGCTGTTGAGATCCATCCAGGCTGTTGCAGTACCGAGTGACCTCCCCTTGCTCATTCTGGCAAAGGGCTGTCTGTCCTTCCGCCATCTCTTCTTTTATGACTGAGCTCAGGTTTCTGCCTCCCTGCCTCCTCCTGTATGGGTGAGATGTTCCTTCCTATCACTCTCACAACTCCTGAGCACATCTCTACTTGTATTGTGCTGTCTTCAGGTGTTGGGCCCCCTGTCTTCCTCAGTAGGCTTTTGAGGAATCCCTGAGGGGTAAGGTTTTATCCGCATGTCTCCAGTGCTTAGTTCAGTGTCTAGCACATAGTAGGTGCTCATTAAGTAAATGTTAAGTTAATAAACATATTGGAGTATTCTTCTTGGTGAATTGCATACTACCTTATACCAGATTAGTCATTCCATAAATATTTGTTAAAGGATAACAATTTATTTTAGGGCACCCGGGATCCGATTTGTGCCATAACTGCATCTGATAAGACATTGATTGTGGTAAGTTCGAAGCAAACTGATTTTATGAATAATAATTGTTTAAATTATAAAAATAGAGTCAAGTAATGTGTTTTGGATTTGAATATCATCTTGTGGGCACCTAACTTACTAAGTCCAACATAAGAAATAAGAAAGTTTTAAAGGTTGCCTCACAAATTGTTAAGCATTTGCAAAAACACCTGTTTATAAAATGGGTAGAATAGTGGCCCGCTGGGGAGAGTTTGACACTGGGTTGAAGAAGCCACACAAGGGTTGGCAGGTGCAGGGTGGATTGGATGGTGGTAGCAGGTCTTCGAAAGCTTCCTCCTCTATGTGGCCTGCTATTTTGTGTTGGAGAAAGGTTTTGGCTCAGCTACTTTCGTAAGACTTAAAATGAAGAGGTCTTGTGTTTGCTAACCAGTAAAGTGAAGAAGTCTAGGGCAAAATTTTCAAATAAAATCAATGTTACAGTGTCTTTTCTTGAGCTCTGACATATGAAAATATTAATTTTAGAACTAAATGTTTAATATAGTAATGCTGGTGGAGTCATTGAATTTGAATTATGTAATCAGAGCCTTAATAGTGTATATTTACAGTTCTAGTTATGTTCTTTAGCCATTAGAAATTTTATGGGGGACAAAATCTTAAGAATGTCGTATTTGTTTTTCCTCATTAGGATTTTTATAGCAGTTTGTCTTACAGAGCCTCTTGTTTTCTTTTTAGATTCTTTGCTGTATGGCAGGGTTTTTTTTTTGTTGTTGTTGTTGTTGTGTTAGTTGTGTTTCTGATATTTGCAGAAAAAAATAACATGCAACTCATATCAATCACAAAAATTGACATAATTCCTAAATGACAGAGTCTACCTGAAGAAACGTACTCAGTTTAATAACAACCAGAAGTTTTGTGTTTTTATTTTTTTATTTTCTTATTAACATATAATGTACTATTTTTTTCAGAGGTACAGGTCTGTGATTCATCAGTCTTATACAATTCACAGCGCTCACCATAGCACATACCCTCCCCAGTGTCCATCACTCAGCCACCCCATCTCTCCCACCCCCCACCACTCCAGCAGCACTCAGTTTGTTTCCTGAGATTAAGAGTCTCTTATGGTTTGTCTCCCTCTCTCTATGTTTCATCTCGTTTCATTTTTCCTTCCCTTCTCCTATGATCCTCTGTCTTGTTTCTCAAATTTCTCATATCAGTGAGATCATATGATAATTGTCTTTCTCTGATTGACTTATTTCACTTAGCACAATACCTTCTAGTTGCATCCACATCATTGTAAATGGCAAGATTTTTTTTTGATGGCTGCATAATATTCCAGTGTGTGTGTGTGTGTGTGTGTGTGTGTATACACCACATCTTCTTTATCCATTCATCTGTTGATGGACATCTAGGCTCTTTCCATAGTTTGGCTATTGTGGACATTGCTGCTATAAACATCGGGGTGCATGTGCCCCTTTGGATCCCTACATTTGTATCTTTGAGGTAAATACCCAGTAGTGCAATTGCTGGGTCATAGGGTAGCTCTATTTTCAACTTTTTGAGGAACCTCCATACTGTTTTCCAGAGTGGCTGCACTAGTTTGCATTCCCACCAAGAGTGTAAGAGGGTTCCCCTTTCTTCGCATCCTCGCCAACATCTGTTCTTTCCTGACTTGTTAATTTTGCCATTCTGACTGGTGTGAGGTGGTATCTCATTGAAGTTTTGATTTGGATTTCCCTGATGCCGAGCGATATTGAGCACTTTTTCATGTGTCTGTTGGCCATTTGGATGTCTTCTTTGCAGAAATGTCTGTCAATGTCTTCTGCCCATTTCTTGATTGGATTATTTGTTCTTTGGGTGTTGAGTTTGATAAGTTCTTTATAGATTTTGGATACTAGCCCTTTATCTACCAGCCAGAAGTTTTAATGGAGAAAGTACCTTCTGCATTTAAAACTTCTTTTTGCCGTTGAAATGTAAAATGTATTTTTTAATTTTTAACGATTTTATTTATTTATTTGACAGAGAGACAATGAGAGAGGGAACACAAGCAGGGGCAGAGGGAGAGGGAGAAGCAGGCTTCCCGCGGAGCAGGGAGCCCGATGCGGGGCTCGATCCCAGGACCCTGGGATCGTGACCTCAGCCGAAGGCAGATGCTTAACGACTGAGCCACCCAGGCGCGCCCCCCCCTTTATTTTTTTAAAGATTTTATTTATTTGACAGAGGAATGTAGAAGGTTTTAGAATGATTTCTTTTTCAAACCTTGGAAGCCACAGGAGCCCTTTTTTCAAAAACAAAATCTTATTTCCTACTCCAATATGGTAAATCTTCTGAAACCCATACTTCCCTAATATACATTAAAAAATATTCTCTCCCTCACCCTTCCAGCCTTTCTGGTAGGCCCCTCTTGAGAGTCATGCTGCAAAAGCAATGCCGCTCTGATTAAAAGGGGAAGGAAAGATTGGCTGAGTGGAGCCTTCTGCTTTGTCCCGTTGCCATGACCAGAGGCACGGAAGGGTTTGGAAACCACAGTTCTGTCCTGATTGTTATACCAACTGTTGATCTGTCAGCATTAAGGCTTGCACAGAGTTGCATAGTAATTTATATTGTTTTATTTTTATTTAAAAAGATTTTTTTTAAAGATTTTATTTATTTATTTATTTATTTATTTATTTGAGATAGAGGGCATGAGCCGGGGGACAGAGGGAGAGGGAGAAACAGGCTCCCCACTGAGCAGGGAACCCGATGTGGGGCTCGATCCTAAGACCCTGAGCTCATGACCTGAGCCGAAGGCAGACACTTAACGACTGAGCCACCCAGGTGCCCCTGTACTGTTTATTTTTAGGCCGATTTAAACTAATACTCATTGTATCACTGCTTTCTGATCATCTCCCTTTCCCACTAACTAGTATCAGATAGGTGGCTATAGATGAAAAATATAGACTTTCAGTAACAACTGTTTCATATGGTGATCTTAAATTAATTTTTCATATATATGAAATTTAATTCAGTGAGTGCTTTATATTTTAGCTTTTCGTGTACCCTGCATATTAACCTAGACAACAACTGTAAATAACCCTTGTTATTTTTTCCTTGTGATATAAGCATTTATGTAGTATGGAACAGCTAGGTTTCTGACTTCTTTCTTAAATGCTACATGAAAAAATTAGATCACCTTCAGCCACTTTTGAAAGGGTTTTAATTAAATTAGGAGATACATATGTAATCAGTAATGTGATTCAGTATCAGAATTGGCAGTTAGTTATGACACCATCACTTTGGTTTTGGAAACAAATGTGTGAACATATAGACAGACCTGTATTTGTATTTAATTTTATTATGTAGATATGCTTTAATAATCAAAAGTAATTTCCATAGGGTCGTGAATCTGGCACCATTCAGAGATATAGTCTTCCTAATGTTGGTTTAATTCAAAAATATTCCCTTAATTGTCGAGCCTACCAGTTATCCTTGAATTGCAACTCTAGGTAAGTCTGAAAATTCTCATGTAGTTGTTGGGTTTAGAAGTTATCAATTGGGATTGTTGGATTTATGTAGTAAATGCAATAAATACATTTGTATAAATACAAATGTGTATTTGTTTTAAACTTATAGTTCAGTGTGATTTTACTATACTATATTTATATTTAGATAGTTGTATTTATACTGTGTTTAGATGTTTTTCTCTAAGTGGGCAAAATATAGAAATTCTAATGTAATACTTTAAATTGTTTGCATGTCAGTTGCTTTAATTCCTTTGGATACTTTTTCCTCACAAGGAAGCAAAATGGAGAGTAGTCCATGTCTTCTCTATCAAATTTGTAAAAATTTGTTTAAAACCAGTTATTTCTTTAAAGCCATTTCTGCCTTCTTCCCAGATTTAGATGAACTGATTTTTGCAGAAGAACAGTAATAGGTAATTATATTTGTGATTGCTGATTATCATTTTACAATTTTGTTTCCCTTCTCCAATGTCATTATTTGTAGTCGTCTGGCTATCATAGACATCTCAGGAGTTCTAACTTTCTTTGACTTGGATGCTCGGGTAACAGACAGCACAGGACAGCAAGTCATTGGCGAGTTGTTAAAATTGGAGCGGAAAGATGTCTGGGATATGAAGTGGGCCAAAGATAATCCAGATTTGTTTGCAATGATGGAGAAGACAAGAATGTATGTTTTCAGAAACTTGGATCCTGAGGTAAACACAAGAAAGGAGCATAAGCAGTACATAAATAATGAGCCAGATAGCGAAACCTGGCTATTTCCCTTATGTTTCCTTAAGAGGTTTGTTGGTTGTTGGTTGCATGAATTTCTGAAAATAAATAGAAACATCTCTGTGGAATTGTAACATATTTGGTCTTAAGTGGGAATAATACCGATTCTTTAAATATTCTCTGCTTTCTCTGAAAGGCACTTGCTAAGCATTTATCTGTTCTTTTTAAAAGATGGAGCCATGGTCTCTAATATATAGTCTTTATTTTTTCCTTGTGAAAGTTAAGAAAAAAAGAAAATCAGTAGTAACATTTACCAAAATTGCTTAAAACAACCTAACTAAAGAAATGGGATTTTGAAATTGCTTTGTGCTTTTATTCTCTTTTGCCTCTCTGTCCACCTTAATCTGTGCTTCCTTGGTCTTATTTATATTCATACCAACTCTGTCAGCCACGAATCCTGGTCTTTCTCACTCTGATAATTTTATGAATATGCAAGTGTGGACTGACTAATCTACCCTCTCTGGAGTATCAGGAAGCTCCTTGCTCACTAATTTTAAAGTTGTATTTTGATTTTCTACTTGCAGCTCACATCAGCTGTTTTAAGCTTGGAATTTTCCTGTCACTTGGTCTGCTCTGCATCAACTGTTAGCATTTGTGTTTAGGAAATTCAAAATAATTTGAGTGGTAGCCTAATCAAAGCATCATTGAAATAAATCTTTTATACAATTTTTGAATAATTAATGGATTTTCGGTTTGGAATTTTCTGTATGCTTGCTGTACCCAACAAATGTAAATAATAGATAAGTTGATAATTTCTGTATGTCATTAATTGATGTGTGGATTTACAGTTTCCTTTTTGGAAAGAAATTGCATGCTTGGGCCCCTGGGGTGCCAAAGATCTTCTAGAGTAATTCATTTAGTGGTAAACTATTTGTCCTTTTAATATCCTAAATTATTTTCACATTTCCCCATTTTGGCTCTACTCAGGATCTTTGGGTTGGGAAATGACCTGATATAAATTGCTCTCAAAGACTTTGTTAAAGCTTTTAGGAGTCTTAAGGATCTTAGTAATTTTTAGTCCCTGAGTTAGGTTTAGAGGAAAGGCAATCAGGGCTGTTGCATTTAACTTGTAAGCAGGGGCTTCTCTCAAGGGTCCAAGGGAAATTTGATGCTTGCCACAAAACAAGTGTGAAAATTTGACAGGTAACCACAGGATAACTGTGAGGATAGGAGAGGAATACTTTTTGAATGTTGGGGTCCTTTTCCATCGTTGGCCCTGTGTGCACTAAGTCAGAAATCGTATGCCGGATGAGTGAGAGTGTTGTGCCTGCCTGGCTGTTCATAATGTGTGTGTAGCACACATGCTCAGTCTAGCACTGGGGGAAAAGACATCCTGGCCTGGTGCAAAGTGCTTCTTAAGCAATTTGAACAGAACAGTTTTGTTTTGTTTTTCATTTCTTTTGAGTTTGTTTTCTGGCTTAGCGAGTAGTTCAATTTCTGTTGGATTTAGAGCTAGATGAATTTCTTTCAACCTTACCACTGACTGGATTTCCTTATAAACCCTGCTGTTCTTTTCATTCATGAGGACACTGGCTGGCTGTGATCCCGGCTTGGTTAGTTTCTCTCCTGTTCGTTCCTGTAGCTGCTTATTGACTGGTCATGTAAGGACACACACTTCAAAACCGAATTTGCTGGGGCTGCTTTAGGGCATCGTATTCTTTTATTATTCAGGAGATAGGCTATCATTTGACAGTTAATACTGAATACATTTTTATCCACTTGAGTGTTGTCATGAATTCTAGATTCATACCTTTCTTTAAGTTGTAAAGTTTTCTTTAGATTATATGTGAAAAAAGGGTGCCATTTGAATGTGAAGTTGTAATTCACCGATAAAGCACACTTTCTTTGAGAATTTGGAAATGAGTATTTAATGTTGATACTCCCTGCTTGATCATTTTTATCTCCAGTGACCCTCTCAAGGTACTGATTCCGCTTTTCTAGTCTTTTTCTGGAATCTTCCCTCTCATTGATGCTATTTCATATTCATATTCCTTTCATATCTCATATTTTTGTCACCCACCCTCTCATTTTTATATGCTTCTTTACCAAACAAGGGGTTTCCAAACTTTTGTATCTATACCTTTGTATGTGTATAATTATTTATTAGAAATTATATACATGACCTACCATATTAATACATTGTGAATCATGTCCCTGAAACAGAAATTTTAAAAGAATGAGAAAAAAATAACAGGAGGTAAACTTTATTTTAAAATGTCATGGTGTTATGGTTCATGCTACCATTAGCTAGTGTCTCAAACATAATGCACACTTTATAGAGTGTGGAATTATTAACTTAGTATAGGTCCCATGTTTCAAATAGTCTTCTTGATAATTTCCATTTTTTAACTGACTTTTTGTCAGACCTGATTAGACTGTCATTGTTTTCACTGTGTAATGTGTTTTCACTTTGTAAAAACCTCGGAATCTGTGCGAGGAGTAAGGGAAGTGACTGTTCTGCCTTGTCTTGTTTGCTTGTGCTTGCATTATGGGTATTCCAGTAATTCACAAATTCTTTGCAGGAGGATTTTGAAACTACATGTCCAATTTATGAGGGTTAGCTAAAAATTAGAAACTGTAATCCCTAAATCCACTTAGCTAGGTGTGTCCAAACTTCAGTATGTCACAATGTGCTAGAATTGAGGGGGTAAGTACTTCAGAGTACCTATGTTATATTGCACATGTTATGAGACCTTCTGACTTCTGTACTGAATGAGAGTACTTAATATAGAATAGATTAGTGAAGTTTTAAAAACTTTCTTGATAAAAATAAACTTCTTGCGTACCGCGTAGTGGAGGGTGTCCTGCTTTTGTCATCCACTGGTCTAAGACTTCATATTCAGTTGAAATGTGGATGGATATCTAGTGAATTTTGGAAAATAAAGAGAATTAGTTGAGATCAAGCAGAAGTTGACTTTTTAAAATCTGAATTACACAAATACTTGCATATTTACTTACGTGCCAATAGGTTATTTTGGAAACTCTTAATTTTTGGTCTCTCCTCCTCCCTGTATTTTCTTACTTTCTCTTTATTTTTGGTATAACTTTTATCCACGCATCATCTTTTATGACTTTATTTTTTGGCTGCCTTGCTTTGTTTTTTATCTAGCCAAATATAAAACAGTTTTCTAGTGACAAACATTTTTGTACAAGTATATTTGGACACATGTAGTGTCAAAATAATTCAGGTGTACAAAATGCCTCTATAATTTAAAGAAATATATCCTTATATTCTTTCTTTTTGAATTAAATTTTGTTCTGATTCTCTCTGTGTGTTCATTGCTCATAAAGGCATATTATTTGCCTTTACATAGTACATTTTTTTTAAGAAATAAAGGGATTTTGTAAAAATTTTCTCATATAATCAACAATTTTTACTTTTTATTATTTATTTTTATTTTTTTATTTTTAAAGATTTTATTTATTTATTTGAGAGAGAGAGAATGAGAGAGAGAGAGAGCACATGAGAGGGGGGAGGGTCAGAGGGAGAAGCAGACTCCCCGCCGAGCAGGGAGCCCGATGCGGGACTTGATCCAGGGACTCCAGGATCATGACCCGAGCCGAAGGCAGTCGCTTAACCAACTGAGCCACCCAGGCGCCCAACAATTTTTACTTTTTAAAAGAAAATCATCACTTTAAGACTCATTAAACACATATAATGTGTATACAAGAACCTTTTTTTTTTTTTTTAAACATTTTATTTATTTATTTGACAGAGAGACACAGTGAGAGAGGGAACACAAGAAGGGGGAGTGGGATAAGGGGAAGCAGACTTCCCGCGGGGCGGGGAGCCCGATGCGGGGCTCGATCCCAGGACTCTGGGATCATGACCTGAGCCGAAGGCAGACGCTTAAGGACTGAGCCACCCAGGCTCCCCCAGGAGCTTTATTCTTAAACTTTGACATACTAAAACTAAATTTGATTCAATTTTTACCTGTAATTTCCATCTTTTTAGTATCTTCCTATTATAATTTTTGTAGTTTCTATCGTATGAAGAACTAAGTTTCAGAGTTAAAAATTCAATATGTTATTTCCTTTGGATTTTGCTTACTTTCTGTTTCATGATATACATATACACACATATCTAAAAAAAATTACATTCTGGTATTATTTCCATTACCAGACATTAACTTATCCTTTCTACAGCGTTCTTGGAGGTAGTAAGTATATTGAGAGTTTATTTCTTTTTGTTTACATAATATTTATACCTAATTTTTTCTACTAGGGATTTAGGGCAGCTATTTTACATTGTAATATGCATTTACTACACTTTATTTCTATAAGCCTGCATAATACCAGGATGAGAGACAGACCTGTAACAGACTTGTATATTTACATATTGGCAAATTAAGTCTTCTTATATAGAAAATCTATCAGGAATGCTCTCTGGCTAATGTTACATAGGATGGACTTTTCAGTACGGTACAAGTTTTCTTTGATATATGTACTTACAAATATAGTGTTTGTCAGTTTTATTAAGAATTAAATTTAATATTGCATCACATGAATAAGAATTATCTAGTGGTATCAGACGCTTCCGGATTAAGAAAAATTGGACTGATATTAGATGCTATTCGGGAATTAATATTGATTACATAAGGCATAATAATAGTAATGTGGCCATATAAAGAGCATCTTTTTTTTTTTTTTTAAGAACATCTTTATCTTTTAGAGATATGTACTGAAATATTTAGGGGTGAAATTTCATGATATCTGTAAATTTACTTGATTTACTTTAAAATATTTCAGCCAAAAAATTGACTGAAGCATATTTAGCAGAATGTTAATAATTATTTAGATGATGGACATATGGGTGTTAATGACATTCTTTCTACTTTTCTCTTGGTTTGGAAATGTTGATAATAAAATATAAAATCATATATTGAAGGAAGGAAAATTTTGTACAGTTTAACATAACATTTGTTTTTATCTTTAAAGGAGCCCATTCAGACTTCTGGATATATTTGTAACTTTGAGGATTTAGAAATTAAATCTGTTCTTTTGGATGAAATACTGAAGGTAATTCTTAAAAAGCAATTGTATTTCTGTTGCTGGCTTGGCTGGGATTTATTTTTTCACCAGGCAGTGCAGTGTCCCTGTTAGGAATGTGGATAGACCCTGCTCTGTCACTTGCACCACTTTTAGACAGGTTCCTTCACCTTTTTGAGCTTCATTATCCTTTCTTGTTTACGAGCCTCAATTTTTTGCCTCTATAAAATGGGGATAATAGTAGTACCTATCTTCCAGGATTGTTATTGTATAAGGTAATGTGTAAAAAGCACTCAGCACAGTGCTAAGATCAAGAGCTCAAAAAATGGTAGCTAGTTGTTGTTGTCATTTTTTATATTATCAACAGAGGAACTGAAGGAATATTTGACAATTTAGTGTTTTGTAGTTCTAGGATACTTGAGTAACTTTTTTTTTTTGCAGGGGCACTATCCTATTTTTTTTTCAGGCTTTATAAAATAATCCATTTCTGATGCCAGATATCTTTTTGAACCTCTACTTTGGCCCTCATTGACCATATTTTAAGAATTTCTTTCTCTAAGGATATATTGAAAAGAGTTTTACCTTCATTTTATACAAAGCATTTACTTTTTCTGTGTACTTCATTCAGTTTTATGGAATTAGAATAGTAGATTTTTACATTTCTGAAGTTGCAGTTGGTAGCATGTTTTCATGTTTTAGTTTGATGTATAAATTGTAGCCCTTTTATTATGAACCTGTTTTTTTTTTTTTCCTTGAGAAATTTCTTGGAGGACTAGAGCAGAAAGAATGCAAAAGGAAAAGGAAGGAATTTACTAAATTTACATTTACTAAAGTACCTTTCATAGGAGGTGTTCATTTGTCATTTGTCATTATATGTTGTTTTTCATTTGTCATTACAACCATGCCTGGTAGGTACTACACAGACCTCATTTTTAGATGAAGAAGGCTCTTAGTGAAATGATTTACCAAAAGTTCATCTGTTCATTGACTCAGGAAATGTTTACTGGCAGTCAGTAAGACACAGTTCCTGGCCTCAAGTAGAGGAGTTGGGGAGATAGACAAGAAATTCAGCAACCAGACAAGGCGTGGGGGAGCTGTAGTTCAGTTGGCAGATGTATCCCTTCAAAGGTCTGCAGCAAAAGAGCATTGGGTCAGTTCTGAGACTGTGAGTAATGTGAGTAGCACAACCAGGTATTGTGCTAACTGTTTGATCTCATTGAATCCTCACAACTCGAGGAAGTAAGTTTGATTATTCTCTTCATTTGTTCAGATGAAAAATGTGAGGCTTGGAGAGAGATAAACTAGTTTGCCAGTGACACCCAGTTAGCAGTAGGCAGAGACGTGATTTGCCTCTAAGCCGTCTGGCTTCAAAACTGCTGTGTGTATGTAACTGGTAGCACTGGCAGAAATGAAGAAGGGGAATGGTCATGGGGTAGGTTGGCCCAGGTTATAAGAGGCCTTGTGTGCCTTCTGTGGAGTTTGGACTACATCCTGGAGTCCTTGGGGGCGTAAAGCAGGAGAGTGACATGATGGGGTTTCTATTTGGGGAAGATGGCCTTGGCTTCCTGGGTGGCGCTGGGAGGGGGTGTAGAGCAGGTTTTAGAAAGAGTTGTCACATAGCCAGTGAACAGTGGAATAGGATTTCAGCTTAGGGCGGCTTGAATCCAAACCTCATGCTCTTTCCATACTACTTTCTATCTTGTGCCAGGGATTTCCCAGAGAACTTTTTGGCTTCTGAACGCAGAAGCTGGTTTAGTTGCAGGGTGAGGAGGGGCACATGCAGCTCAGTTCTGGGAGCCATTGCTGTTTTCTCTAATTTTCTCGTATGCTTCACTTTTTCTTTGCTTGGAATATGTAGGATATTGGTGAGTTCATTATAACTGTTTTCTTTGCCCATTAGCTAGCTCTTTCCTGCAAGGCTGGCCTTCAAAAAAAAATTTTTTTTTTTTTTTTTTGGAGGGGCCAGCTTGCAAAATTAAGAAAAGAAAGAGGTGATGAAAACTGGCCCTTTTCCTTTTATTTGCTTGTCTGCTGCCCAGCAGCACAGGGAGCAACAATTTCATTGCCCCTGACAAGGAAAGAGTAGATTAAGGAGTGAGGGGGTAGAGGACCCTGCACACGTGTTTTCTGCTCTGGTGGAATCCACAGCACTTCGGGCGAGAAGAGAATAGTAGCTCCTGGGAACATGACATTTAAGCTGAGGGAAAATAGGCTGCATAATTGTAAGAGACCCCTACTTCCACCACTGCCTTTTCCCCATGGGCAGCCTCATAGCCTCGGGAGGAACTTAACTGGTGGGTTCTGGGTGTTTTCCAGATGACTTTAAAGACCCACACATTGGAATAGCTTTTCTTCCCATTTTGGTTCACAAGGTGAGGCAGTTATGTGTGTGTGTGTGTGTGCGCGCGCGCACGTCTGTTTTACTGTAAAAAAGAAACACGTACTCTAAGGGCAGCCATTTGACTTTCTTTTCGTGTTTACTTTTAGAATCCTGAACATCCAAACAAGGATTATATAATTAACTTTGAGATTCGGTCCTTGCGAGATAGTCGAGCATTGATTGAGAAGGTTGGCATTGAAGATGCATCTCAATTCATAGAGGACAATCCACACCCCCGACTTTGGTATTTAAAAATAAAAAATCTTCCTCAAATGACTGGTGTATGCTTTTTATTTTTTTATTTTTTAAAGATTTTATTTATTTATTTGACACAGAGAGACACAGCGAGAGGGGGAACATAAGCAGGGGGAGTGGGAGAGGGAGAAGCAGGCTTCCTGCCGAGCAGGGAGCCCGATGTGGGGCTCAATCCCAGGACCCTGGGATCGTGACCTGAGCCAAAGGCAGACACTTAACGACTGAGCCACCCAGGCGCCCCATGGTGTATGCTTTTTAAAGTTTCAGCTCTATTGTCCCCCACTCTCGTGGTAGCCATCTTGGGGGGTAGATGTCCATTCTTGCTCTTCTTTTTAAAATACAGAAATCATTTCAGATGTGGAAGTACTCAAAATGAGCATAATATTAAGTGAAACATGTATAAATGTGTTTATCACTTCCCACCAGTTTGAGTAGGAACAATAGGTATAGTAATTGCATTCTGGTTCAGACTTGTTTATCAGTAATTGCAGTAAGCTTTTCTGTTTCTTTTGTAATACAGGCGCCTACTGGCTGAAGCAGCTCTTCAGAACCTGGATTTGCACACTGCAGAGCAAGCATTTGTACGCTGCAAAGATTACCAAGGCATTAAGTTTGTGAAGCGTCTGGGCCACCTGCAGAGTGAGTCCATGAAGCAGGCCGAAGTTGCTGCGTACTTCGGCAGGTTTGAAGAGACCGAAAGAATGTATCTTGATATGGACAGAAGGTAAGTCGTGAAAGTACAGGCACCCTGAAGTACTTCGGCATTCGTGATCTTTTTGTACAATAGACTAAATGTCTCATGCCATTTCTTTAGAAAATAATTTCAGTTTGGATTACCAGCTGGATGTTCCACAGGTCCCTCGTTAATGTATGTTTTGTAATTTGGAGGCGGTTTTCTTTGCTGTTGTTACATATATTAATGGCTGGCCGTGGATTGCTTTCATTTGGTAGGGAAAAACCATAAGACTACAGAGACTGGGGGCTTTTATCCTTTATTACACAGCTCAATATTTGGGTTTTCTTTTTCTGTTTAGGCCTTTATTTAACTTTTTGTTGTCAAGGAGCATGAAATAAAAATGAACGGTATATAGGGATTGATTTTTATTCCTCTGTTCATTTTAGATTTATATAAAATGCTGTATGAACTTCATTTCAACTGTAAACATTGTGTCTCATTTTTATTAATATTGTACTTCCAGGAGATCCCTAATAACAGCCTAAGCCCTGAAAAGAAAGATAAACCAAATGTGTTTATATGTATGGTTTTTAAATAAGTCTGATCATGTCTACAAAATTGATGAAGTGATTATTATTTAAATCATTATTTTGCTAGGAAAATTGGAATTCTAGGGAAAAAAAGGCAGGAAATTACTTCCTTTTCCCTATTTCAGGTTTTCCCCATTGCCTCTTTCCTGGTTAAGTTTCTAAAATGTTTGGAGAGGTACGTTGTCTTTCAGTTCCCTGCTGTGTATTCTAGTTCCCTGGAATTGAACCTATCACGTGGTAGGCAGTTGTTAAATTATTTGTCACATGAATGAATACATGCTATCTTTTGTAGAGATCTTGCTATTGGCCTTCGGCTGAAATTGGGAGATTGGTTTAGAGTACTCCAGCTCCTGAAAACTGGATCTGGTGATGCAGATGACAGTCTCCTAGAACAAGCCCACAATGCCATCGGAGACTACTTTGCTGATCGACAAAAATGGTAGGTAACCTAAGTGGACCACCTTCTCCATTCATGCGGCACTTAATATGGTAGCTGCCTGAGTAACTCCCTATGACACAACGCTGGGGAAATTGAAGTCCATCCTCCTGGATCCTAAAATTCAAACAGCTTTAGATTCACACTGGGGAGCAAGAGATCCTTAGATAAGTGTTGTAAAACTTTGGAGTTTTCATACCCACAAAATGTGTGCCTAGCTTCAGACAGCTTTCTACTATTTAAGAACACAGTGTGCATTTCAAAGATATTATATGATCTACTTCTGAAAAAGGTAAAAAAAAATTTCATATTTACTCGTTTTATTGTAGGTTATTTTCAGAAATCATTGACTTTTATTCTGAAGTTTTCATTTTGATCAGTATGCTTATTTATTTATGTCAGTGTTTGGAAGTACAGCTGTGTATCAGATTACAACAATATTTCTTAAGAATATCCAAAGGATGTTGCAACTAAAATATGCTTCGCAGTTTTTAGATTTTTTTTCCCTCCAATTTATATGCTTCAAAGACATACTATAACTGAAGGTGGTAACTAGAGTAATACTAGTAATTCTAATGAAGGAACATTTTTGGTGAAAATGCTTATTTACCAGGAGGTTCACATTAGTTTTAAAAGTTTTTGCTTCTTTTTATATTCTATAGGTTGAATGCTGTACAATATTATGTACAAGGCCGGAACCAGGAACGTCTAGCTGAATGTTATTATATGTTGGAAGATTATGAGGGATTGGAGAATCTTGCCAATTCACTTCCAGAAAACCACAAGTTGCTTCCAGTAGGTATTACAAATTTTAGGTTTTAGAGTTGTTAGGTTATTTTATAAGGTTTTCATGTTACAGTCAGGAAATATTTCTGTGCCACAAAGAAAATTTAAAATGAATCTATAATCTTATAGTTTCTTAGATGTGAAGTGATACTTTTAATTGTTAAAACAATATGTCAGTATTACAGAATGCTTGAAAATGGAGGGAAAATTAATCATATTCCCACTACTTTAACATGTTCACAATCTACTGTAGTCTTACCAGTTTTATAAAATTGCTTTTAAAGTTAGCTGAACACATGAAATATTTCCAGCTAAAATGATATCTTATCAGAGATTTGCCTCAAAATGATCCAAGCTTGGTCTGGGGATTAGTGTGTATGTATGTATTTGAAATTTGCTATAACAAAAGTTAAAAAAGATAGCTTGACTTTTATTAGGTTATTTTAACAATAAAGTATTTAATGTTAAAAAAAGAGAAACAAAAAGAGTTTTCTGGAACTTTGTTTTGAACGTTCTTTTTAAGTGTATTAATTGTTGAATGATGTTAATGAATTTATATTTTATTTGTTTTATCTAAAATGTAAATAACTGAGTTGTAAAGTACCTGTAGAGTTAGCATCTCTCAACTGCATGGTCTGGACGTATATCAGTTGTGAGTTCTACCATAAAAATTTTGTCAATTAATAGATGAATGAATAGTAGAATTCTGAGAATTTGGTTTTCTCTTTTGAATCAGAGCAGTTATCCCTGTAATAATGATATTTTCAGTTACTTTTATTTTCAGTCCTGTGCTTTCTTGAGTAGGAGAGAAACTGAAATTACTTACAACCCTGGGTATTAGGACAGTGTATACTACATTAATGTCATCTGTTAGGTGTGTCTGGTGATGCAGAAAAGAGTGTTGCTATAGAATATCCAAAAAAGTATTATTACTGAGTAAATACTAAGTAATTATAGCTATAATAATAATTAAATAATTAAAATGATTAGAAAATTTTAGTAGTGCAAATTTTAAATCAAGTTTTTGGAGGAGTTTTTTAATAATATGGTAAAATGTACATAATATTTAAGTAGGAATTTCAGGGTGCAGAACTATACATAATATCACAATACATACAGCAACTCACACATCCATATAGATTCATAGGACAAAGATGTTAGGAAATTACATCACACCATTGAGATAGATTTCCTATGGGTAGTGAGATTATGAGTCACTTTACATTTTTGTGCTAGAAAACATTTTTTTTTTCCCCACCATGAGAATGTGTTACTATTTTCTAACCAGAGAAATACAAATATTACTTTTAAAAAGATAGTTGGGTCCAAAATGTACTTTTATGATTTTCCCCAAATACTTTATTTTTTTATTTTTTTATTTTTTTTTTAAAGATTTTATTTATTTATTTGAGAGAGAATGAGAGAGAGCACATGAGAGGGGGGAGGGTCAGAGGGAGAAGCAGACTCCCTGCCGAGCAGGGAGCCCGATGCGGGGCTCGATCCAGGGACTCCAGGATCATGACCTGAGCCAAAGGCAGTCGCTTAACCAACTGAGCCACCCAGGCGCCCGTCCCCAAATACTTTAGAAATGAGGGTGGGGAGAGAAAAACTCTGGCCAAGTAGATACTCAGAAAGAAAAAGAAAATTGATTTTTCTGAAAATGGAAAGTAAGCCCGATGGGTGTGGTTGGGTTTTGTTGTGATCTCCCTCCTCACCACCACCCTGCAAGGGAGCTCTGTTTTGGATCTAGCTTCCTGCACTAACAAACGGCTGGCTTGTCTGGGGCATTTCTTTAGAGAGGTATGTGAGAGCTCTGTGAATGTGAGATTCCGCTGAAGCCTCTAACGATGACCATTGATTATACCATCGGTTGCCCTAAATGGTTTTTTCACACACTGCTATGGAGTTTGTTTCAGAACTTGACATTTCTGTAGAGTTGCTACTGTACTGGGAGGAGAAAAGAGTGCAGTATGTTCAGGACCTGGTTAAAAGTCAGATCTGCGGCGTGAGCCAGCGAAACTCTGGTTTTATAGAAAATGATGCCTTAGCATCCTTTCTGGTTTTTAGCCGCTGTCCCTGTGTATATTTCAACGAAAAATGACTGTAACCATTAGTAAATTTAATACTCATATGTCCCTGTGGAGTTTTGTAAATGAAAATATAAGTGATTTTCTTGGTGTGTGAAATCTGAGAGTAATGTTCTGTCCTTACAGGAAATAGCACAGATGTTTGTGAGGGTTGGAATGTGTGAACAAGCAGTGACTGCATTTTTGAAATGTAATCAGCCAAAGGCAGCAGTAGATACCTGTGTCCATCTCAACCAAGTAAGGACCTGAAAACTAAAGTCCCTAGTCATCCTTTTAGGCTGTTGCCAGTGTAGGGTTGAGGCGAATTTTGTGAAAGGAGCTAGATAATGTCTTACTTTGCCGAGGACCTAGAAAATGTTGGAGTTTGCACTTACCTCTTAAAGTGCTACCATTGAGGGTGACCCGCTCATAACTAACTCAATATGGGACAAACCCTGTGCTTCTAGTCTGGCAAGTTTTTGTCTGGAAGTAATTTCATAGTCTTCTGTATTTTATTAGGGTTTTGTTTCCAAAGAAGGACTAGGTAATGGTCATTGCAAGAGGAAGGAATTGGGTTACCTTATCAATATTTATTTTGGCAAATCTATTTTCCTGTCTCTTTATAGTAAACATATATTTGGTATTTTTAAGAGCTGGAATTTAACTAAAATTAAAGTACAGAATCGTGGAAATTGCTGAATATCAGTGTATTCCTTTAAGTACTGAAGTATTTTATAAAGCTCCATTTGCTTTTTAAAATAACTTTTAAATGTTAAATTTTCTTAACTGAAATTGCATATTTTGTTTTACTATAAGCAAATGTAGCTTTTTCCCATGCCTTGCTGGTGCAAAATTGAATTATAATATTGTGAGTATAAACTTTGAAGTTTTCCTTTTCCAATGGACTTCCTAAGCAAATCAAAGTCTTACATCATTTAATCATTTTGACACGTTTAACTTATAGAACTTATAATTGCTCTGATTTTAGTTAAATTTATTTTAAAAAACATATACAGTTTTTAGATTTTGATGTATCATTATTTATTACTATAAACTTAAATCTTTATTGTATGAAATTTATGACATCTATGACTATAAATGCTTGGGTAACTGAATGGTATATTTTTCCCCCTAGTGGAACAAAGCTGTTGAATTGGCTAAAAATCATAGTATGAAAGAAATTGGATCTCTGTTAGCGAGGTATGCATCTCATTTATTGGAAAAGAATAAAACTCTTGATGCCATAGAACTCTATCGGAAAGCAAATTACTTTTATGATGCTGCTAAACTGATGTTTAAGGTAATATAATAATCTTGGTGAGTATTTGATATGTTCTAGTTACCAATGTTTTCTTGCATATTAAAGAACACATTTTCCATTTTCTTTGAAAACAAATACTTATAGCAAAATGCCTCTGGTTTTATTACTATATTTTGTATAGTACTATACTATACACGTACTATAACTACGTGTTATCTTAGTATTATTACCTTTTACTAAAAAGGCTGTTTATTAGCGTTAGCATCTTATTGATATCTAAACAACTGAATATTAATACTGAAGTTAACAAAGAACTATAGAATTTTCAGGGACCATAAAGTACAAATTCCCTTACAAATTCAATCCTATTGATAATAGAATTTTGAGTCCTTTTCAATGTACACATTTTAAAGACATTACATTTTTTCATAATATGCATTTGGAGGGAAGATGACTAATATATGGTATTAATGTATGCAAAATTTACATCCTATTCTATTTTTTCCCATTTGACTTAACGGAAAAGGGAAAACTCCCCTCAGTCTTCTAAATAAATCTTTATTTCTGAAGGCTGTGCCATGTTAAAGTCCTGTTATTTCAGTATATTTGGAACATCATTTAAAAAATCTCCTTATGGAAAATGCTACCCCTTCCATGAAAAGTTTCTTCATTGTGACTTAAGAGCATTTGTTCTTTTCGGAGATTGTTAGGAGTTGTAACTCCATGGCTAAATGCTAAGGAAAGAATGGAGTCCTTATAAGCTAAAGAAAAGAAAATTTTTTAAAATTTTTATGTTAATCACCATACATTACATCATTAGTTTTTGATGTAGTGTTCCATGATTCATTGTTTGTGTATAACACCCAGTGCTCCATGCAGAACGTGCCCTCTTTAATACTCATCACCAGGCTAACCCATCCTCCCACCCCCCTCCCCTCTAGAACCCTCAGTTTGTTTCTCAGAGTCTATAGTCTCTCATGGTTCGTCTCCCTCTCCGATTTCCCCACCTTCATTCTTCCCTTCCTGCTATCTTCTTCTTCTTCTTCTTCTTTTTTAACATAGAATGTATTATTTGTTTCAGAGGTACAGGTCTATGATTCAACAGTCTTACACAATTCACAGCGCTCACCATAGCACATACCCTCCCCAATGTCCATCACCCAGCCACCCCATCCCTCTCACCCCACCCCCACTCCAGCAACCCTCAGTTTGTTTCCTGAGATTAAGAATTCCTCATATCAGTGAGGTCATATGATACATGTAAGAAAATGGGTTTTAAAATATTTATTATAAATGGGTGGTATTTATGTTCCATCCTACTGGTTTTCTCTTTTTATTAAAGATCAAATTTCAGAAATGATTATACAAATATAATTTGATTAAGGAATGTCTTCCCATATTCTTTAAATGTTTAAAGATTGCAGATGAAGAGGCAAAGAAAAGAACCAAACCTTTACGTGTCAAGAAGTTGTATGTCCTATCAGCTTTACTCATAGAGCAATACCATGAACAAATGAAAAATGCTCAAAGAGGAAAAGTTAAAGGAAAGAACTCAGAGGTAAGGTAGAACATTACAGAACATGAAATCAACTCATGTATTTAAGAAAAAAAAAAAAAACTATCAAACTTCTCTTTATGGACAGCCCATAAATAAGAGAAAAAGGACTGATTTGGAATTAATACTCAAATTTAGAAATTTCTACTTAGGAATATTGAAAATTTTTTCTGCAAGACTAATCTGTAGCCTTTGCTTTCTAACTAGTGAGTTTTAGAAACTTTCCTAGAATGTATATATTATTTTATGTGTAAATGAATCTCTTATTAACTTAAAGTTTATACTCAGTTCTATTTTAAAATTTGACCACACCATGGGTCACGGTGTATTGTGTGTCAGATCACCACGAGGTACACTTTTACTATCTTATAAGATTTTATTTTTTATTTATTTATTTGAGACAGAGAGAATGAGAGACAGAGAGCACAAGAGGGAGGAGGGTCAGAGGGAGAAGCAGACTCCCTGCCAAGCAGGGAGCCCGATGCGGGACTCGATCCCGGGACTCCAGGATCATGACCTGAGCCGAAGGCAGTCGCTTAACCAACTGAGCCACCCAGGCGCCCCACTTTTACTATCTTATAATTTTATTTGTCAGTTATACCTCAGTAAAACTGAAAGAAACTTCTTATTATACTGGCTTAAAAATACAAATTCTAATGGAGAAATTAAATCTGTAATGACAGTTTTGTCATGATAAAATTTGCTTACTTGGATATTTTAATGTATAACCATTCAGAAACTATCTTTATTGGAATGACTGTCATGGTTGTGCTGACAGAAAACGTGGGTCTGCTTGACTCATAGGCCACTTCAGCTTTGGCTGGTTTGCTGGAAGAGGAAGTTCTGTCTACAACTAGTCGCTTCACAGATAATGCTTGGAGAGGGGCCGAGGCTTACCACTTCTTTATACTTGCACAAAGGCAGCTCTATGAGGGTTATGTTGACACTGCACTGAAGACAGGTGGGTATATGACCTAATGTATAGAATGTGTCTAAAACGGTCAATTGAATATGAAGGGCCAGCTCCCTCAGTTTGCCCATATATTAATTTCAATAACATTTTAATCTATGGGTTTATTTTCATGTTTGAGATTTGCCATCTGTGATTTGTTTTGTGCATTCCCCATTTTGAAGCACTTTTAATTTTTTTAATACATAGAAAGTAATAAGTATGGTTCACATTAAAATCAGAAGTTTGAGATAAGCAAAAAGACCATCTATAGCATTCACTATTTTATTCATTCAAAGTTAAACACTTAATAACCCAGTCCATATGCTTTTGAATTTATATATATATATATATATAAATTTTTTTTTTATATCAGGAGTATAACAGGCCATACTTTTATGTCCTTTTTGAGAAACATTGCTAGGTTGTAAGATATTTCCATATTAATAGCTTTCCATAGCATTTGTTTTTTATTAAAATGACATGGATGTAAAAAAAAATGACATATAACAATTTAAGTCAAAACAGAAAAAAAAATACAAAGGAAAAGGTAAAATAATCTAATAACTTGTAAAATAATCTTGTAACTCAGAAGTAATGATTGCTAACGTTTAGGTGAACTTCCTTTTAGACATTTCTCCATGCCTATAGAATTGTAGATAGTTGTCCTTAAAATAATATCATACATGTTGTTCAGGAGCTTGCTTTATACCCTGTGGTGAATATTGCAGTCATGTTTCCACATTGACGAACATACATCTGTGTTATCATTTGTATTAGCAAGGGGACTGTAAAGTTTTTTTCTAATTGGTTATTAGTTATACACAAGAACCATTTTTGTTTTTGTATGTTTATAACTGACCTTCATTTAATTTAACTGATTACTATGTGGTATAAATTATGCAATTATGTTTAAAATGGTTGTATTTTATATAACTTATACACAATTTCTAGACTTATAAGGCAAATTAGAGCTTTAACTTGAGAGTTTTCACCTACTGGGTGAAGAAATCCATATACAATCTATTAATTCTTCAGTACATTTTAAAGAAAGATTATATATCTCTAGTATAGAAAAGGTGAAAATAAGATAAGAATGTCAAAATGGCAGCTGTCAAAATAAATTTTCTGAACTGACAACTTAGAGGCTCATCGTGACTTCTTTTTTCTCAAAGTTCTGTTGTTTCGGTAAGACAAACAAAAAAACAATCTGTTCAAAGAAACGCAAAGAAAAAAACATGATTTCTTTCATGCTGCTTTGCTTTTTTTACCGAAAGGAACAATGATGTTATCTTGAAAATTATGACTAACAGTATAATACTAGTTTACTTTTCTGGAAGGCCACAGAAATTTCTAATGTATTTATATGAAAAAAAGATATGTTTCGACAACAATTTTTATTTTTTTGTCTGTGTGTGTACTTCTCACCGGCACAGTATGCGCATCATTTGGTGGTGGTGATTTCTGTAGCACCTGAGCTGTTGGCTAGCGTTACAGAACTGTGAGCTCGGATAACTTACTTCCTTCTACCAGGCTTCGAGCGCCCGCCATTGTTTTTTTTTTTTTAAGTTTATAAAAGTTCATGTAGGTTAAACTAAAGCTGCTTAACATAGATTCTTCTCCATGCATGATCATGATATTATGATTACTTTTCAAAATCTAAATTGTCCTCTTTTTCCCAGCTCTTCACCTGAGAGACTATGAAGACATTATCCCTGCCGTTGAGATCTACTCTCTGTTAGCTCTCTGTGCATGTGCGAGTAGAGCTTTTGGTACTTGTTCAAAAGCTTTTATTAAACTTGAATCTTTAGAGACCCTCAGTGCAGAGCAAAAACAGCAATATGAAGATCTTGCTTTAGAAATCTTCACGAAACATACTCCAAAAGATAACAGAAAATCTGAATTGGACAGCCTTCTTGAAGGGTAGGCTGATTGTGATTAATGTTGATTAGAAGCTGGGATTTCTGTAAGTGTAATAGCGTGATGTAATAATTTAAGCACGAAATTTTAAAGTAATTTACCTTAAGATTATACCCTATTTTATTTAGTCTTGTAAGTGTTATTAATGCTTTATTTTCTCACTGTAAGAGAAGTTTTTAATTGAAACTTGCCTGGAGATGTTTTTCATCCCTTAATTTTTTAAGTGTAATAAATGGTTTAAGTAATTAGAAGTTTTAAACTGTAATTCATTGTTTTTCTTCTTGTTTTTACAGAGGGGAAGGGAAGCTGCCAACGTGTGTAGCCACGGGAAGCCCGATCACTGAATATCAATTCTGGATGTGCGGCGTGTGTAAGCACTGTGTCCTGGCACAGGAAATAAGTAACTACAACTTCTGTCCCCTGTGCCATAGTTCAGTGGGGTAAAGAAACGGCAAATCGCGTAGAACTGCAAAATATATGTAGCAAATACACATAGCTATGACCGTATATATAATAAGATTAGAAGATTTCATATTTTATGTGAAAATCAGCATTATTTCATAGTTGTATTGTTACACAAAATTATATGTATACATAATACATATCTGTATATATAATACAGATGTTACATATACATAATTTATAGATATAATTTTGTGCAAACATACTACTATGAAATAATGATGCTGATTTTCATATAAAACGTATGGAAATCAACCTTATTTCCTGTCTGTCTTTCTGTCTCTCTATCTGTTATGATTACATGATACTATGAAAATATTCCAAATAAGAAATTTTTCTCACAGTTTCAAGGTTACTAATTCATCAAAAACCTTGGCAGGGGTGGGTGGGGAAGCACGGGAGTGGGGCAAAGTTCAATTTAGGGAATTGACATAACCTGTATTAGAAAAAGGTTAAATAATTGTAATATTAAAATGAGCTCTACTGTTGCTGTATTTCATTAAATAAGTATCAAATGTCTTCTGTATTTTATTTTCAGAAGTGAGAAGGCACTTTAAGATATTTTTATAATTTGAATTGTTTCTAATAGCCTTATTTTTTATATAGCTTTTCCTTTTTTATCTACCCTTTTAGCCTCATCTGAGAGATGGCATTTAGCATTACTCTTTATATTGTGCAGAAAACTCGGCCCTATTTATGATAAAATCTATACAACAACATCCATTTTGTAGTTACAGTTCTAGTTGAAACATTGTTTCTAAGCAGGGCCCTTCATTTAAACAACTCTAGGGTGTGGGGAATGATTCTTTCTCAATAATGTGTCTGTTTTGACTTATCATTAATTAAAAAGGAAAAAATTGTAACCAGCAATGGGTAATTTCTTACCTGTTTTATGTAGCTAATAGTGTTCTTCGTGTAGTTCTCATAAACTGTGTCCTTTCATTTTGCGGCTACAGGCTAGACTCTAGCACTGTGTCATCACCATTATTTACTCAAGATTGGTTGATGTTTAGTAGCGGCAATAAGTAAAGAGAAATATGCCACATTGCTATTGCCGATGCGATACGTAGGTTGGTGAACCACTCTCAAAGTGCTATGTTTTGAGTGCTTTAGAGACAAATTAAGCCTGTTGCAGATCGAGAATAGTGAGCTCTGAGAAGAGGTTTAGAGCCTAGATGAGCTTACAGTAGTGGGCTCATATGCCTAAATAAAATAAGAGGACCCGAAGTCTTGGAAGTCTCTGTCTGTGTTCAAGGGCCTTGTGGGAAGTTACCGTGATGCAGTGTTAGCCTCCAGATATCCTACCAAGCAAGCCATTCCAGAAGTCACGGAGCAGAAAGTGGTACAGACCAGTGAGGATGCTTTAATTCACAGGGTTTATTGAATCAATTTGAAATACACAGGAACAACGAGAAAGTGTTTGGTCAGATTAATACTGTTGTTAGGGTAGGGTGTCAGTGGGATACAGAGATTACATTACCTGAATCGTGAGTTCTGTTCTGTTCTTGTGTCCTGATTGCCATTCTGCCCAGTCAGCTTCCCCCTGATAGTATGGCCACAAAGAGGACCAGAGCTGAGGTTTGAGCCAGGTGACCCAGGCATATGGAATGTGCCTGAAGCTAGTGATGGACACTTGCTCTATAAGAGGCTATGGGGCAAGTATATCAGGTCGCAGCCATAGGTTGCCAGTTAGTCTACTGAGCAGTCATGGATTTGATTGGATTGTATCTCTTGGGCAGAGGACCGGCCGGAGTAAGTATCACCAGTGACTAATTGTATCCAGATCTCACACATATTGAACACTATAGGTCTCATGCATATTTAGTGCATCATGAATAGTACACTGGTTGCCTTTTGTATTTTTAGTGCCTCTTTAATATGAGGTATGGTCATACATATATACTCTACTTACTTTGTCTAACACACCTCATAGATTACGTACTTGTTTTTTTTTTTAAAGATTTTATCTATTTGACAGAGAGAGACACAGCGAGAGAGGGAACACAAGCAGCGGGAGTGGGAGAGGGAGAAGCAGGTTCCCCGCTAAGCAGGGAGCCCGATGTGGGGCTCGATCCCAGGACCCTGGGATCATGACCTGAGCTGAAGGCAGATGCTTAACGACTGAGTCACCCAGGCGCCCCATAAATTACCTACTTATTTAAGTTTAACACAGTTTCATCTAACTGATTTGTTTTCTTCTATGACCAGAATAGGATATTCTTCCAAATCAGAAAATCACATACTAACAAAAGGATCAACCCTAGGGAATATATCTCCTGTTGAACTTAATTACATCTTTTTTTTTTTTTTTTTAAGATTTATTTATTTATTTGAGACAGAGAAAGGGAGGGAGGGAGCATGAGTGGGAGGGGCAGAAGGAGAGGGAGAGAGAGTCTTAAGCAGACTCCACCCTGAGCATGGAGCCCTATGTGGGGCTCTATCTCACAACCCTGATATCGTGACCTGAATGGAAACCAAGAGTCAGATGCTCAACCGACTGGGCCCCTTACTTACATCTTTCTATAAGACTTTCTTTTTTCAGGATAAAACTACTCTCTCCTTCATCAATGGAAGAGAAATTTTTAGGGATGTAGGGTGAAGGATTCCTGCAGGACTGCATGTTCAGAGTTGTGATTCTTAGTCCATGGTCTAATTCCTGCTACATTTTCTTTCTCTTTTCCCATCCCAGGAATCAGCTGAGAACTGATTGTCATTCCTCTAGACCTTACTGTACTTGTTGATTACACTCCCAGTAGCTTCAATTCCAGTTCCATGTAGATGTGTGTATACATACATGTATACGCACATATTACAGACGTATCTTTTCTACTATTGTGAAAGTTTATGCCTGTTTGGGACTTATATCTCTGAAAGTTTTCGTGATCTGCCAGAATGTCTTGGGGACCTTTGTCTTGCTTAAAAATAGTACTAGGGAAAGACCTATAGTATGAGTTGACCTAATTCGGTTTATTCAGCATGAAGGAAATTTCAGGATAACACCACCAACAAACTCTCTCCTGTTCGATGAAAGGAGCAAAGAGAAGCAAAATTGTCTATATGTAACAAATACTTGGGGAGAAGTTGGACAGAATGAAGCATATATTGAAGACAGTATAATGAAGCAGTTATATTGTTTCTCTTCCTGTAAGAAGCATGTACTGATTCCATTTAAGTAATGCTGAGTTGCTCTTTATCACAAAACTTGGCCTGAATTATGTGAAGTTTCAAAGTAGAATTATATTACCTTTCAGAGTTTGAAAATACTTTGATAGGCCAAAGTATTGAGATGATGGGAACAACAGATAAAAGTTTACAGTGATAAGCAATGTGCTTATTAACATTGTTGACCTGCCATCATGCACAAATGCCGATTTTATTACACATTTTTTTTTTCTAAAATACACTTTGAAATGATCTTTTTGTATTCCAAGAGCTGAGATTTTAGGTTTTATGTGGCATTAAGTAAAAAAAAAAAAGAAAAAAAAGAAAAGAATAAGCTTTGAAGTAAAAATGACTTGTATTTATCCCCAGTTTCCTTTATCTATAACTTAAGGATAACACGGTATTTGTTTTGTTTTGATTTAAATATTTTGGTGGGGGTTGGTTAGAGAGTGTTGGGCTTCAGAGTGGATAGGGGAGAAAGGGACAAGGAGGTCCAGTAGATTTCTAATGTCATTTTTTGCTACCAAACAGAAAAAACAACTTTTTAGAAAGGTACTAGGCAAATGTCAGATGACTGGAGGTTGCAGTGAATTACTCTAGAATCATACAGAGTTCTCATTTAGAAATGGGGGGAAAGTTATTTTACCAGACTTTTAAGAGAACATGGGAAATACTTATTTGATAATGTTACAGCTCTAAGATATTGCTGCTGAATTTCTAAAATGAAAATGGCAATATTATGTTGCCCCCTACTGTCTATTCTTATGATTATTCTCAAGTTATTTTTTTAAGAAATCAATGTGTATTTTTTGAAAATAAACATATTTTTAGAAAAGTAACATATATCCACAGTAGAAAACTACAAAAATACATAGAGTATTTATGAGAGATGAGAAGTGAAAATGGTCTTAATAACCTCTTTAAAATTAAAGGCATTAATTTATATTTTAGTTGAATTTAGGAGAAGAAAAAACAGATCAAACTGAAGAAATTGCTGTACTGTAAGTTTTCTTCATGACAAGAGCTATTCTTAAGAAATTTCTCTAAAATTAAAAGAAACAGTAGACATGAAGAGGCTTAGAGTTAATATTTACTCTTCTTATTTGGCATAGCTTAAATTTCTAGTTCGTAAAATCTAGAGAAAAATGGGATACCACTCACACATCCTGTAATAGCTAAAATTAATATTGCCAAGTATTGAAAAGGATATGGAACAACTGAAACCCTTATACACTGCTGGTGCAAATGCAAAATGGTAGACCTACTATGAAAAAGTTGAGTTTTAAAAGTTCTCTATTCTAGGGGAAAAAATATATGTATATGTGTGTGTTTGTGTGTATGTGTATTTTTTTCCCACTGCTCTAGTCAACGAGAGTGAAGCTTTACTGAGGCCCCGGGGCCATGGGGCTCAGGCAAGCGGCGGCCCTGTAGGGGAAGGAGGAGCCCAAGGAGGGACCTTATTTGACTTTCTTCTCAGGGCGTGGGTGGTCGGTGTGGCCACACTTTGTGCAGCAGTTGACAGAATGAGGTTGCAGGCAAACATAACACTTTCAGCAGACCATCTTGTTGCAGCTGTATTTCTGGGTGAGCTGGCAAAAGGGAGGCTTGTTGATGCCCCTCCCCAGGCAAAGCACCACCTGCAGGTGGACTCTGAAGATTGATGTAAGAGGGAGGGACAGCAACTGAGCCTCGCCCCAGCACTGAAATCACAGGTTAGGCCCTCCAGTGTCCTCCTGCAGACCAGAGCTTCTCAAGTGGACAGAGACCCCATGTCAGAATCCTCTGTGTGTCTTACCAGTAGACACACCAGCCCAGCATCTCCTACATTTCCCGTATCAGACACCTGATTTTTGGATATTTTCTCCCATTCTCTGGGTTGTCTTTGTACTGTTTATAGTCTTTTACAAAGG